TCGAGGTCACCCATGAAGAGGCAAGCCATCGACGGAGCCATGCGAGTGCCCATTGCAGTGCCGTGTACCTGTAGATAGTGTTCACCAAGGAAGGAAAAATTGTTCTTCGTTAGTATAAGTCTCATGCGGGTGCCAACATCACTGATGGGAGGAGTCGTGTGTCCTGCCTTGGCCAGAGCCAAGGAGCAAGCACGAACACCCTCCTCATGTGGGATGTTGGTGTACAGAGATGAGACGTCGAAAGTCCCAATGATGGCTGTGCTGGGAATCTGGTCCATCCTTCAAGCTTGCGTAGGAAGTCTGGGGTGTCGTGAATGTATGACGAAATCTGTGGGACAAGGGGTTTGAGAAAACTGTCAATGAACAGGGAGATGCGTTCCGTGGGTGAGCCATTACCGGAGATGATGGGTCTACCGGGGTTGCCAGCCTTGTGAATCTTGGGTAGAAGGTAAAATCTGGCAGTCCTACAATCTCAGGGAGAAAGAAATTTGTGAGCTTTCTTGGACAACTGGTCACGTGATCGCATATCGATAGATTTGATAGATTTGGATAGATTTGTGTGACCTGTGACGTAGAACGCGTCACACTAGCTTCCGGTGCCCATCATGCGTAGCGCGCGCTAGCTGCATGAGGTGGTCAATCTGTACTTCCTTCACAAGATTCTGTGAAGCTCATCAGCCCTTACCAGCGCTCTGTTTGCAGGGCGGGGGTACGAGCGAAGATACATGAAGTTGTGACAGAAAATTGTTCCTGCCATGGGTGAATTGTTTGGGCCTGGGATTCAGGCATGAAAGACGTCGAGGATACTGAGAAAGCGTTGTGATCGAGCTCCTCTAGCCCTTTCAATGTTCAAGAACGAGGTCCACCCCTTACCAGTCCATTGCAAGAGCGTCAAGACTACGGCACCGAAGCGTTCGCAGCTACCAGAACGAGACATCGAACAAATTACTAGGTACTTACAGTCCAACATTTGGAAGATCCCGTGTCACTAACCTGCGGTCATCCTCTCAATCACAATTCCAGTTATATTAAACTTACTGGTCTTTTATCTCATTGGCACCCAGTTTTTCAATACCTTAGCTAACGTTCAGTTTTCTGTACATCACTGGCTGCCGTATGATTCACGAGTCACTGAATAGAATGCAGTTTCTATCAGCGCTAGTCTTTGACAACTATTACCCGTGCCCAGTCAGACAATCAAGCAGCCTTTTTTTATCGAAAGATTTTTTATCAATAAAGTTTTGGGTAAGGAGCAATCACCTCAGAACCCCAGTTCATGGACATATCTCCTCCCTGGCTCCCTCACACATGTACCTACAAATACAGGGGATCTTCGTTCCGTTTTCAATCTGCGTCTGTTGAACAAACACATTGCTTGCCAACATTTTCAAATTGAAACCTCTCATCAGGTTCTCGTGTCACGTCACTGAAGTGAACGATTATAGACAACCACCATGACTCTTAAAGATACCTACTTCACGGTCCCAATCATAACTATTCATCGCAAGTTTCTACGTTTTACCTTGAGGGAAGTATACAATTTACATACTTCCCCTTTGGCCTTTGCTGTGCCCCTCACGTTATTTTTTTTTTTTACCAAGATTCTCCATGCCCCAACTGTCTGTGATATTTAGTGATATTAGTGCATTAATAATGTTCTTAATATATTACATTGTCAGTTATGTGCTCATCTATGGAAGTCTTATTGACTTCAGTGGTGTGTTCTATATAAACTATGCCAAAGCGATAAAAATGGGCAAAAAAGTCATTCATTTCGCAATAATATTCACTGCCCACTGTGCGTACAGTGCACATTTAGTTTTTGGGGCGGGGTGTTTTTTTTTTCATGCTAGATACCAACCTCCTATACAAAATATCCCTCAAATGACCCGATGCATCACCTCTGAAGTGGGTGCAATCATATACCAAAATTTTGATTTTCATCCCCATTATCACTCCCCGCTACTAGGAGTACAAAAAAATACCGACAGTGAGGAAATTCGAAGGGGTAGGTGTACGAGTGCGATATATTTTTAGGAAGGCCTACACGCCTGCACCATTAACACTAGGTCAGCCAGGATCCCTAGTGGTCAGTAAATCATCCTGTTGGTGATTGAAGGGCCGCTCACACTAAAATTGTTTCCTCTATTTTTTTTTTACCTAACTGGCCGGATCGATGTAGACAACTCTTCGGGTAGGCTATATGACAGGGACTCGATTGAAGTGCCTATGTGGACACCAGTTCCGTTCTACCATGGATCCGGCAATCAAATCTACTAATTAAAGAGGGCTTAAGTAGTGACCAACATATCCAGTGTGTTTACTTGTTCTGATTGAGCATCCAATCGGCTCAGAGGGTGTAGCCCCTAGCTAGTCGGTTACATCAATCCTGCCTCGAACGGTCGCAAGGAAGTCTTTTTTGTAGACTTGATGACAAGTCGTAAGATATTATATTTTGTCCATGAGCTTCAATGTCCAACCCGGCGCGGCTGGTATAAGACTAGTACGTAATTGGCCGGGTTGCGACAAATCTAACGACTTGACGATTACCTTCTCGCACGTTATTCATGGGTGTCGGAAACTTCGCCCCATTTCCACTTCGCCCCATCCCCACTTCGCCACTTCGGACTTATTTTTCAATCCTAAACATTTAGCTAGAGATGCAGTGGCATTTTAGTCCATGCAGCTTTTCCCAAGTTTCTCCGTTTTCAAATCGATAGTAAAGGGCGACAATATTAATACATGACCAACGTGTTGTACCCAAAAAAAAATCAAATTAATTATTTTAATGCTCGAATAGTTTTTGGCTGGGGCGAAGTGGGGCTGGGGCGAAGTGGGGCTGGGGCGAAGTGGGGCTGGGGCGAAGTGGGGCTGGGGCGAAGTGGGGCTGGGGCGAAGTGGGGCTGGGGCGAAGTGGGGCTGGGGCGAAGTGGGGATGGGGCGAACCATTCATGCAAAAGCCATGTACTACTGCGCGGCATGGTCAGTTTGCATACACAGAGCACTCGCATGGGATCGCACACCCATGGGGTCGCACGCGATTAAAACCACTCATTACAGACTTGATTTCAAGTCTAGCGTGGAGCCAGTTACCGAACGCAAAGTAATTACCGACTAGTCTATGTAATAGACCATGCCGCAAGTCATGGTCTATAATGCGTGAACAGATTTGCTGATTAATTATGCAAGACCCCGCCTCTTGACCTCCTAGATTTTGACCAATCAGCGGGCACTTTCTATATGGTCTTCGGTCATTCACCCGTTGCGCGTCATAGACAATGGATAAAAAAAAAAATGTGTCACGCGCTCTGTATCATGTTACGTGATACCGCGCCCGGCTGTTGTATTACAAAACACTGCATTCGAATTGACCAATCAAACCATTTAGTCTTGATTTAGGAATGAAATGACGTTACGATTTAGTAAAGTCGACTCCGATTGGCTGGCGCGCTGCTTGCATATATCTGCATGTCTAGACATATCAGACGTTATACACTGGATTTGGCTCCGTGGATAACGGGTGATACTCAGACTAATTACCGACTTGGCACCAAGTTATTCTTTTTTGAGGCCATGTGCATTGAAAGGGTAAAAAGGGAGTGGGTCATTGACGAAAAATGCTGTGCAGCACCGATCCGTGAGAAAACTTGGGTACCAACAGATTTACCCAACAATAAAATCCAATATACAGGATGAGTCAAAAAGAATGTGACTGACTCAGAATTCTTTTTTAAAATGTGGCTCGTTCCATGTAAAAGTAGAAGTATCGACTAGTAACTGTGAATAATGTACATGAATTTGCACACTCTAATCACAAGTTATCTCTATGTTAATAGAAATACCACAAGTTGGCTGTCCACCTCTGATCAGTTACCGATATGATAGGCATTCATGAATACCTTTTAAATCCAATGAACAACAGGGTTGTCCTACTTCCATGAATAAACAAAAACTTGCAAAGGAAAACAGACCAGAGTTGTAACGAGTCACTGATTTTTGTGACTCGAGTCGAGTCGAGTCATTTTAAAGAAGTGACTCGAGTCGAGTCGAGTCATAGGTCAACAAGGTCGAGTCGAGTCGAGTCGAGTCACAGAGTGTGGTCGAGTCGAGTCGAGTCGAGTCAAGTATTTAGCTCGAGTCAATTCGAGTCACCAATATTTGAACACTATATAATAAATTACAATAAAAAGCAACAAACACAAGAGAGAAAGAATACAAGGCACCAGTCTATTACGAAAATCCAAAGACATAAAGTATGCTGTATGGTACCCAACCAACAGTTTCCATTGCTAGCTCACGTCACAGATAAGAAGATGTGAAACTTCGGTCTTATGACTGGTTTGGCTTCGGGTCTAGATTTTGTTGTTCGCTGATCGCTGACAACGTCAAAACCTAATTGCATTATACAAACTGTTTCTGATTATTTAAAGGTGGGCCCGTCCGTATCCATTTGTTTTGTGAAATCGGGACATAAATTTAGCTAGCGTTCCACCGAACTTCAAAATCGCCCGAAACCAATGATGAAACCACGGATTGAGAAATGCGTTTTAAGTCTGGTTCCGAGTTTAGCATTACATGCTATAGAACCACAAGGTGGGAGTCCGCGACACGGTGCATGTTTGTTGTTTCATTATGGAGGAAGGAAACAGATGGCCGCTGTATATGAACGTACATTATTTGCGAACATAACGTGACGTAAACAAAAACTGGCAACGCGAACGGCGCGGCGTAAGTCATTGCAAATATTTTTCGCAAATAAGTTTTGCTTTTATTTTTGGGACTCGAGTCTTATTAGCCTTCCTCGAGTCGAGTCGAGTCATTCTGATGAGGGACTCGAGTCGAGTCGAGTAATTTGCTCGCAGTGACTCGAGTCGAGTCGAGTCATTTATCCGTCGGGACTCGAGTCGAGTCGAGTAGCCAAAAGATGTGACTCGAGTCGGACTCGAGTCGAGTCATTGACTCGAGTCATTACAACACTGAAACAGACAAACATCACCATCATCATTTCAGAAAAAGAATTGATTTGTCCCTCGCATGCAAAACACAAAATATTACATAAAATAATGCTTCAGTCTTGACTTAAATTACTAAAAAAATCATTTGAATTTGAATGCCTCGTGTGTAATGTCTGGTTCACACTCAGTTGAACAGCTTCAAAGCATGTGGCATTTCATGGACAGTTGTGAAACATGAGTTCTTTTAGTAAAACATGCATATAACTTCTGTGCATCACTTCACTGCCTAAACGTTACCCTGTGGACCACATAGAGTGATGCACATTTTGTAGGCCATCATTCATAAACTGAAATGACAACAGAAGCATTCTTCCTAACATCAAATTCACTTGCATAAATGGTTGGTTTTAAAACATGCATATAACTTCTGTGCATCACTTCACTGCCTAAACGTTACCCTGTGGACCACATAGAGTGATGCACATTTTGTAGGCCATCATTCATAAACTGAAATGACAACAGAAGCATTCTTCCTAACATCAAATTCACTTGCATAAATGGTTGGTTTTAAAACATGCATATAACTTCTGTGCATCACTTCACTGCCTAAACGTTACCCTGTGGACCACATAGAGTGATGCACATTTTGTAGGCCATCATTCATAAACTGAAATGACAACAGAAGCATTCTTCCTAACATCAAATTCACTTGCATAAATGGTTGGTTTTAAAACATGCATATAACTTCTGTGCATCACTTCACTGCCTAAACGTTACCCTGTGGACCACATAGAGTGATGCACATTTTGTAGGCCATCATTCATAAACTGAAATGACAACAGAAGCATTCTTCCTAACATCAAATTCACTTGCATAAATGGTCGGTTTAAGTCCAAACTCATTGTCGCGATAGATCCTAAGATGGGTGAAGGCGTCGGGCTTATACGTCAGCCGACAGCGAATACCTAGCTGGCGAAGCCTGGTCTCCAGTTTCATCACCCCAGACTTGTCCGTGAAGTCCTCTGAGTAGATGCAGATGACGTGGCTGTAATCGCTGTCATCTCCCATTGCGGGCGCAGAGCTGACCTTGGTAGAAGTCCCCAGCTGGCCAGCGACCGTCGCTCGGAATATCCTCTCCCATGTCAAGTCAGCATGAATGCCAGTTTCCTTCATGACCATCCACTTGCCGCTCAAGCATCTATGCAGAATTTGTAGAGAAGAAAATAGCGATGGGGAGTATTTACAGGAGGCTTAGTCTTTTTTTTACCCTCTATTTGAGACAAGTTCCTGACAAGCAATAGAGGGGCCTACTAGTCTTGTGATCTTTGGCACAAGGACCCAATGTACAGGGTGGATAAAAAAAACCCCTGAAACCGAGATATTATTGCTAATTGGAACAGAATTAGGGCACATGTGAATCAAAGGGAGATATCCTCTGTTAGGCCAAAAAAAAAATAAGTGGGTCTCTGGTCAGCGCGCGCGTCAATTTTAATCATGCGCGTCAATCTTTTTTTTTCCAAAATGTTCTGCGGTAGCTCCAACAGCACCCTCTATTGCCGTACTTCCTCAATTTTTTTTCCCAAAGAGCACCAAGGAATGGGAAATTGCACCAAGGAAAATGATCGAGAGCACCAAGGCAAATTATGGAGGACACCAATGTACATGAGGACACCAAAAAAGCAAAATAGTACCCCACCTTGTCTGTACAATCCAAGCTTGAAGAAAAAAAGCAAAAAAAAAAAGTTGCGTCCCCACGTCAATTCCGGAACTTTGGCCTGACCAGAGACCGAATATTTATTTTTTTTGGCCTTAGGGTTGAATCTCCTCTTTAAAATGACACCCTGATCATGTCCTTACATGCACGGTTGACTGAGCAGTGACCAATTTTATAAAAGGGTCTATTTAGAGACTTGTGCCACTTTTCATGGTGAAATCTCTTTTTGTCCCCACCTACCTTGATTGGCAACCATAGACTTTCACTCTGTGACAATTGACACAAAAACCACAATTGACAAGTGGGGCAAGTCTCTAAATAGACCCTTTCGTAACACTGGTCACTGCTCAGTCAACCGTGAATGTAATGACATGACCAGGGTGTCATTTTAACGAGGAGATTCAACCCTAATAGAGGATATCTCCCTTTGATTAACGTGTGCCCTACTTCTGTTCCAATTAGCAATAATATTTCGGTTTCATTTTTTTATCCACCCCGTATAATCTGTATACATAGCGTATTTAACCCTCCTGCTATTTTAACAGTCACAGTCAGTCAAAATTCACTTCCACTTCCCCTGCTATACTTTTAACAAAGGCTAGTCACCAGTAGTCAGATCATATGTCAAGCAAGCACTGTGATTATAGTCAAACTGGGTCAACATGTCAAAGCAGACAAGTTGAGGTCACAGCCGTTTTATCACTCACCTGGAGTCAAAGCATATAGCTGTATCATGTAGGCTGGGAGCTCTTTACTGTTGAAAACGGTCACTTGTTTGATTTTGACTGAAAGGACTACTTGGCACATAATGCATGTTTGCATGGGAGGGTTGTGCTTGGAATTTTGGGGTTTGTTTGCCAAAGTTCACAAAACTGGATTTGAATCATCTCGTTGATGGTACCCTCTACATCTGATGGCTTGTCAAGATTGCCATGAATTGGCACTGGCTGCATTAGGGAAACAAAATCCAAACCAGTCTTGGATCAAGACTACAGGAGGCCTAGCTTGGGAACAAAAGAGATATCAACAGGGCCATTTATAATCCCACCCAAAGAATATCCTGGGCAGTTTGGATCGAATATATACTGTGGATCAGATGCCAATACTGATAGAATTTAATGTTGGTCAAGCCAAAAAACAAATCTTGTACATACAAATACAACATGGTTTTGGGGGAGTTGGGCAAAATTACTTGTCCATCAGATCTTGCTGATTTTGACTTCCTCCTGACGCAAAGCTAAGGAAGTTGTGCCACTGGTAACATTATTGCAATGGTTTGACCAGTTAAAACTGAAGATTGGCCATGATACATCCAACTCACCTGTGGGCAACAGCGATTCTTTTGATTTCCTGAAAGGTCACAGGTTGTCCTGAATGCAGTAAGTCCTCCCACGCTTGGCAGAGGCCAACTCTGTCACTGGCCTGTTCTTCTCCTTTTGTTTTACTATTGTCACTTCCATTTTCTGTAGTACTGTCACCTCTTGGTGCCCTACCACTGATCCAACTGACTCGTGATCCATTCACTCTATTAATACACCATCAAAGCAAAGTTGTGTTACCTGCCCATGCTTTTAATTTGGGATAACCTGAAGAATGACCCTCATTGTCCAGCTGTAGGAGTTTGGTCCTGGGGATTGGATCAGTGCATATTAAAGAACGAGTACGTTGTATAGTGAAGTTCTCACAAGTCAATCAAATCATGTCACTCAAAAATCCTTCATTCTCAAGTCACATCACTAAAGCCTTTAATTGAACTTCTACAATGGCATTCTAATAATGGACTTGTGATCTGAATATCGATGGACAACTAGACTACATCTCTTGAACCCAGGTACACGGTAGAAAAGTAAGGATTTGTCCTGGGTTTCATGGCTCATCAACCTATAGCTCCCATAGCAAGATAAATGACCCATGTAACTTTTTTGTAAGGCCCCCAAAAAAAATAGTCGGTCTCTCGTCAGACCGATGTTCCGGAATTGATGCGGCAACGCGGTTTTTTTTGGTGGCTTTTTTTTTTTTCAAGTTTGAATTGTACAGACAAGGTGGGTTCTATTTTGCTTTTTTGTGTCCTGTCCTCCATAATTTGCCTTGGTGCCCTTTATCATTTGCCTTGGTGCAATTTCCCCATTCCTTGGTGCTCCTTGGCACAAAAATTTGAGGTGCGGCAATAGAGGACGCTGTTGTAGCTTCCATGTTAATTTGAAGAAAAAAAGAGGTTGACGAGCATGATTAAAATCGACGCGCGCGCTGACCAGAGACCGATTTTTTTTTTTTTGGCCTAACGTGTATTCTTAAAATCTCACCAAGCTCCCCCCCCCTCCAAGAAAAGACAAGAATATGCTACTTACTCTTTGACTCTGGACGGTGGATATTTTGCCAGGAACTCCTCCACCTCGCATTTCAGGTTGGCCTCCTGCTTCAGGTTGGGATCAAAGATAAGCCATCCACCCCGGACTATGGCTAAGGCTTCAGCTGCTAGTTGCCTGGCCATTGAGTGATGCCTGGCTGATCCTGTCTGCTGGTCTGCAAACCTGAACTGCTCAGAAGTGCTTGGTAAGGGCTTACTTCCCAGAGGTGGCCAAGCTGGTTCAATGACAAACAACAAATTTCCTTAATTAATTCATTTCTAGTCGGTTTTGTGTCCTGACTCCATGCACGAACATTAGAAGGCAATTTGTGACCACTCAAAGACACTCAAGAGAGCTTGTGGGACAAACCCTGTTCACGCCGATTTGTTTCTGTAAGGCGCCGCAAGAACACAACCAATTTTTATCTGAATGTTCACAACCCCACATTGTCTTCACATAGGTGTATGGGATTCACATGGGAATTTTCCATACGTACAGTGATCCACATGTAGGGTCTGTCTACATTTAACTAAACCCTCCCTGCATCCCTGATGAGTGTTTACTTGTTACAGAACAGGGACCTTACTCGATATAAATTGAAAGACTTTTGTGGGCTATCCCAGCTGAATGCTAAAATGATAATAAAAAGTCTATAAGGCTTGGGTGAATCCATGGCTGACTCGAATAGACAGGGGTGTGAGTGACCACTGATAAAAATAGCTGAAAACAGCTGAAAAAGGTGTAAAAAAATGCTGAACTTTGGAAATCTCCTATACATTTGTACACAGCAAGTGAGGGGAAAAAGCTGAAATCCAAAACAAAAAAAGCTGAAATCAGCTTTAAAGCTGAGATTTCACACCCCTGAATAGAATCGATTCCAAATTCGGAATTGGAATTGTAGTGCAATTCCTTCCACTTTTTTGAGGAATCAATTTGTGGATGTATAGCCGATTCCAGTTCCCCGAACAGTCTTTGCACAACCATTTTGAAGACCGGCCAACTCCAATGCCTTCAGAGAATGCAGATTATTCCAGGAATAATCTGATTGGCTGATCCGCACAAGCACACAATAAATCACAATACAGCCATGACAGTGTGGCACTGGACGTTTTTTCTGAAGAAGCCACCAAAATCATCCAAATCTTTCATATTTGAGTAACTTTTTTTCTGTTTCAAGTTGATCATTAGCTCCGTGAATGACTGAGTGCATGGTATGAGGTATGTAAAACCCTCCTATGCAAACATGCATTCTGAGCCATGCTGTTACTTGGGCCAAAATTGGTCAAGTGACCCATTGGTGTGTTCAAAGTATACCAGGGACAGTGGAAGGAAAGTTTGACTGTTGGTGACCTTCAATAGCGGGCGGGGGGGGGGGGGGGGGGGGGGGGGGGGGGGGGGGGGGGGGGGGGGGGGGGGGGGGGGTGTACCCTAACACGTGTCATTTCCTGGTCCTTTTTGGCATCCGTTTGTGAATAACTAAATAACCATCTGTACTATTGACGTCACGCAATGTTTACCGCAGTGCATTGCGGGATTGAGTGGGGGTCGCCGCACTGCGATGGCTATAGAAAACATGTAGTATTGTGTATTTTGGGTCTGATTTATTTTAATTTGCGCAAACAAACCTATCAAAAATGACCCTCAAATATGATAAAACCTCGTCTTAATATATTTCAGGTCGATGATTCTTAAAAAATAACGGAGAATTTAGGTATGCACAACGCATACACCGCATACGCACAATACTATTTAATAGCGCGTGACTGCACTGTGTATGTGGTGCTAGTACAGCGGGCAATGAGCGACTTGCTGCGGCAGGAAGTTTTGACGCTGCTTCAAGAGCGGTACAATCGGTACAACCTCGAAATCAATGAGAAAACCAAATAAGTACATCAAAAGGTTAACCACACAAAATACATACATGTAGGGCCTACACAAATAAGACAGATCACGTTCTGTGAATGAAATTGCAGAAGTTTTCTCCATCTATTTTGTTTGGCACCTGGGATGAGTTGACTTGGGACCGAGTTGACCCCGACTGAGTTGCTTTCGAGTCAACTCGGTCCCAATCCAAGTCAGTTCGAGTCAACTCATTACCATTAATGAGTAGACTGGATCTCATTTGTACAAGTGCATTTCGAACGATAATATGGAGTCGGGAACTAGCTTGAACTGGTTTCGCTGATAGCTGCCCTAGTTCCCGACTCCGTATCACAGTTCGAAATGCACTTGTGTGTACAAACGAGATCCAGTCTACTCATTATCATAATCGATGCATCGCGCTCGGTAACGGAATCGCGCTGGGACCATTGAATGAACGATGGGCACGTACATCCACATCGCATTGTTCAAACACGAGTTGGGGAATTTAACGTGTTCACGATCGATCGCGAGGGGAGCTCTCGGAATTGAACGGAAAATTTCACTTTTCATCCGACTCGTAAGCAAACTTTAGCACCTCGGTTTTAATCATCGATCTCTCCTTGTACCTCAGGTGGCGTATCTAGTAATTTGGAGGCCGTTTCGAGGTAAATCTGATGTTTTTGTTGGCCAATGTTTTGGTTTTTTTGGGTCAACGGCAGTCGGCAGAATAGTGTCACGCGACGTTTTCTCATGGTTTCTGGAGAATCGCCACCAAAATCATCGAAAAATTTCATATTTTAGTCTTTGTTGTTCTGTTTGAAGTCGATTATTAGCTTCATGAATGTCTGTTGCATCCTATGAGGTATGAATTATGGAATCTTGGTTGGGATAATAAAGGGAAAATGGACCGTTTTTGTAATGCACTGGGCATACACAGTCCGGGATTTTGGGACTCTTACGACCCGGTTCTTTAATATAACGTAGTTGTGACTCCAGCTCTAATGCGATAGGCATTAGAGCTGGAGTTACTCAAGCTAGCGCAGCCCCCAACGTGGCGCACTTTGATTTTTCACCTGTAGCGCCTACCTTGAGCAAAAGTTTGAACTGAAATTTCACAGAAAGTGAAATTTCAACAAGTTCTAAACTAGTCCGAAAATTTGGGACTCTCAATACTGTGTATGGTTCTAAACACACCTGTTCATAAATCGCGAGTTTGTTTACCCGTAACAAAGTTAGAAGAAAAATTCATTTTGGCATGATTTTCCAATGTTATTGAAAAATCACGTGAACCTTTTGAAAATGCCCCGAAAAATAAGAAAATAATTTTCTGACAAACATGTGGCTGGGTATGTAAGTGCTAGCCCAGGTGGACTCCCTTTCCTCCCTACGTTACGGAGGGAGTCCAGGGTATGAAGTGCTCAAAACCGGGCGAAAAAATTTATGACCAATATTTTCAATATTTTTACCTTGTTGGAGAAGCCAATTTTTATGTCGTAGTATTCTATATGTCCTTATCTATTGGGCCGCTGGGTTCAGGAATTCCATATGCGATGCTGACCGACCTTAATCAGGAAAATAAACTCTAAAGCAACGTTAAACTTGTACGTGTTTGTAGACTCTTTTCATCAGTTTCTCACCGCCGAGTCTATTCTAGTCATACATGACGTACGTCCGTGCAGCGTGTAGTCTGGTTCCCTAGACCTGACAATTAGTCTCGGCGCTCATATCACGTCTGGTCTGGGAGCCAGACTATGCAGTGTGAATATGCAGTGCGCACGCACGATTTGCTTAGTAACCACCCTCATACGTACGCGCACTTACTTGAAGGCGCGGTCGCTAATCCGATGACTGAGCGTGTTTTCGCGCCAGTTACCAGAAACATGTTTCGGCTTTGGTCATTGGTTGAGCGTTTTCGTGACGTCGGTTGGCTGGAGTGACGTCACTGTTCCAACCCAAACTAAACAAATGAGGGTGCTAGTGTGCGTGCGGGCTTTCGTGCGCACATACATGACGTACGACTTGGGAATAAAACTGATGAAAAGAGACTACAAACACGTACAAGTTTAACGTTGCTTTAGAGTTTATTTTCCTGATTAATGTCGGTCAGCATCACATATGGAATTCCTGAACCCCTGGATCAATAGGTAAGGACACATAGAAAATGTAGGCGTGAAATAAGCTTCTGTAACAAGGTAAAACATACCAAAAATCTGGTCCAAAGTTTGGGTGGTCTTATGTAGAGAATTCTCATCCTGGACGTCAGTCGTAATGCAATGAAGACTTCGTCCAACCTGGGCTAGGTATACTCCTAGAACTATGATGCTCCGCGTGAGCGGAGCCTCATAGACACAGAACTCCGCAAAATTGTTTGCAGCACAAAACACCAATTAAGTACAAAAACGTCCATCAAAACGGAGACATTTCCCACAGAACCGCTGCACAGGGCAAGTTCGCGCAAGGACTATAGTTAACCATTGGTTGACTAACGCTTGCCCGAACTCTGTCTAGTCGACGATGGTTAACTATGCTAGTCGACTATTTGGAACCAACCTAGGCCAAGTTCGGGCAAGGACCATTAGTCGACTAGTGGTTGATTTGTGACGTACCTTACGCCTGCGCACTAATAGCAAAGTGCGAACGTCTCTAGTCGACCGCTGGTCAAAATGTCATTGCAAACGTCTGGATCCTGGCTCCCTGCTGTACGTTATGAACGCGCGCGGCTATGGTTACCAGCGAAGCAACCAACCCCAGTAGGTTGGTTCCAAATAGTCGACTAGCGTAGTCAACCATTGTCGACTAGACAGAGTTCGGGCAAGCGTTAGTCGACCAATGGTTAACTATAGTCCTTGCGCGAACTTGCCCCTACTGGGGCTGGTTGCATCGCTGGTAACCATAGCCGCGCGCGTTCATAACGTACAGCAGGGAGCCAAGATCCAGACGTTTTGCAATGACATTTTGACCGGCGTTCGACTAGAGACGTTCGCACTTTGATGATGAAAAATATGCCCTTTCCGCACTGAGCCAACCTAACACTTGAAACGAGCACGCGCGCAGAATGATCGCAGTCATTTTCGGTTCGATCGCTCGGAGCGCGCCGCGGGGGGTACGTACTTGCACTTGTACGCATGCGCATACTATCGTTCCGCTCTACACCATACCCCCCGCGATCGAACCGAAAATGACTGCGATCATTCTGCGCGCGTGCTCGTTTCAAGTGTTAGGTTGGCTCAGTGCGGAAAGGGGATATTTTTCATCATTTTTGCCGAAAACAGACAGAATCCACCGATGTTTGTTGGGTGCACATAACGTGAGTATGTCATGAGGTATTGTTTGAAGTTTAGGGGCAATCTCAGACTGGGACCGTGAGTGCATAAAAACGTGCAAAATTACTACTGACGTTTTTTTACTCACCATTAGGCTAATTAATGCCCACACAACACATACATCAAAATGATAAAGTTGCAAGCATGTCATCTGCGAAATTTGAGACCTTAAATCCAATTTTAAGGCAAGTTTTTGGCAGTTCAAAAACCATCCACGTCAATCTCCATGCTCTGGAAATGGGTGTGTGATTCCCAATGTATTCTGGGTAGGTGTAGGAAATACCCTGCAGCTTACTTGTTTTTTAATTGACAGCCAAATGAACACAGCGCCCTCTGTTAAAAAATGAAACATTCTACATTCACTCAGATCAACAAGAGGGCGCTGCTTTATCTACAAGATGAAAATGTTCTAGCTAGGGAGTTTTTTTGCACAATGCATTGCAGTACACATCAACGTGATGTCTCACGTTTGGATTTCGATAACTCTCTGCAAAATTGGAATTAAAAGCTGAATTTTTGGTGATGCAATGCTCACAACAGCAACTTTGCGAGGCAGAAGTTTCGGGGATTATTGAGGAAACTGTAGTGAGTAAGAAGCTTGCAAATTTGATTCACACTGGTTTTATTATGCAGCACAAACTTTTGCATGATATGGATACCTTAAGTTTTGGGACTCTCATACACAGTATTGAGAGTCCCAAATTTTCGGACTAGGGCAATCTGTGCAGCGGTTCTGTGGGAAATGTCTCTGTTTTGATGGACGTTTTTGCGGAGCATCATAGTTCTAGGAGTAGGCTAGGTATGTAAGTAGAGTAATAGAGATAATAATTATTTACTTCTGAAATCAGAAGGCTTCTCTCCGTCAGACGGAGAGAAGCCTTCTGATTTCAGAAGTAATAATTATTTATCAGAATTTATCAAGTTTACAGAAATTCTTAATTGTTAATTTGGAATTTTTCGAGATTTATTCAATTGCGCCACGTTAGGGAGATTAGGCCTACCGTTAGGGAACACTCCGCCAATTTGTGCCCAATTTCCGGACGCCACCGTTTTTGAATTTCGGATTAGGCCTAGGCCTAAATTTTATGAAACCGAAATTGTTCACAGAGCAAAATGTACCTGTATTTCACTGCACGAATTTGAGGTTTGTCAACAAAGAGGTTTGGCAACATTAACACTACACGAGGAAAGTCGTGTTAAGCTCCGAAGTGCGCCACGTTAGCATGGTTAGGGAACACGACTATATTATAACTGCAATTCAAGCTCAACATAACATGCAACATGATGCAAATCACCCGGCCACTAGGGCGCCAGAACTCCTTCCTCTGTTCGAATTTTTGGATTTGGTATGTCCATATGGTATGTCGTACACATGGTCGTACCATGGAGAAATAAAACACATGTCATGCATGTCGTACGTAGTAATATTAATAGCACGACTACACTAGTCCGAGTAACTTGGACCCAACTTATCGCCTTTTTTAACATTTGGACACCATGTCCAAATGTTAAAAAAGGCGATAAGTTGGGTCCAAGTTACTCGGACTATAGCACGACAGACCAAATCCAAAAATTTGAAAAAGGGGTCGGTTTCTATACGTATATACACTATTTCTTACCTATAAAAAGCAGTTTACATCAGACCATGGAGCTAGGAGTAGGACTAAGGAGTAGGAACACACTAGCTAGCGAAGCTAGCGAACAATCTTGCCCGCACTACATGCACTAAAATACCGTGGATACAGAGTCTAGCCGTCACGTGGTTTGACAAGCAAGCTACTTCTCCGAAACGATAAAGCTGTTTCTCATGCATCTTGGGGGAATACCCATGTAGATGTGACTAGACGACGCCCCCTGTGAGATGGCCAACCTCGTCCCCAGGGTGTCGAATAGTACGCGCCCATCACTAAACGAGGTTGGAAATAAAGTTAGCACTGTGGACGAGGTTGCGAAATGGCAGATTCGCTCGTACCCCCGGCCCCGCCCTGCAAACAGGGCCGAGGGCGCTGCATGGGATCAAGGGCTGATGAGCTTCACAGAATCTTGTGAAGGAAGTGGGGATGACATTCTGAATAACTTGCGTTAATGCCTGAATAGGTTTCTGCAACGTACCCGTACAGAACTTATCATGACCTATATAAAGCATCCTGTAGCTGTTTGAAGACCGCGGTTAGCTAATGCGCGCCAATGTTACCCGAACACTTTCTCATAGAAATGCATACATTCTATACTGGATGTGATTTCTTTTTCATTGCGGACCATGTGGACAAATTGTGAGCGTCGCATAATGCAATTTGACCCTTCGTTAATTCGAAACGGAGGCTGAGCAAGTGGTAGGAATTGAACATTTTCAAAAACGGATAAGTTTTACAGATTTTTTTTCAAAATTATTACCACTTTTACCGAAAAAAAACCCACATTTATGAATGGGAATATGAGTGAGGACCATAGGCTCTATGGTGATGACTCGGTCTTAACGGTCGTGTAGGGTAGTGGCCATGATGACTTGCAGGTCACATGTCACGCAAAGTCTATCCAATCGAAGCTTTAAACTATCAGCCCTTCCCAGCGTCCTGTTTGCGGGGGGGGGGGGGGGGGGGTACGAGCGAAGATGGCAGATATAGAACAGGGTGTCCCAAATTACCTCGAACCATCAAAGCGCCCTCTTTTTCACATCTAAAAAATATATATCGCAAATATCTTAGCTTGAGAAACTCCAGCTCCAATGCTCATCAGAAATTCGACATATAGAGCTGGAGCTAAAACTATGTTGTAGCCCTAAAAATGGTCCTTTTTCCCTCTAGTTTTCCAGCCCAGATTCCATTAAAGATATCTCATTATGTTTAAAGGAACCTGGGTTGGATTGTTGTTTTATAGTGCTTTGTGATCAATTTATTCATTCTGTGCTAGGCCTCAGCACTCAACGCATCAAGTTGCTGGTCAACAAAACCACCATCAAAATACAAAACCAGACGACAGTTTTATGCGTAATGAGATGCGAATGGTTTATTTTACAAAAAGGGTACTTAGACAAAAGCTTATATCGCATGCACTTAAGACGACAGGAACAAAACAATGACGCATGCTTCTATTGGGATGTGTTCACATAAGTAAGAAAACTGCCGATGAGCACTAACTCCAGTTGCATGGAGTACACTTTAAAATACCACAGTAGATGTACAGCCCTGCACATTATTTGATCACAACAACAATGGCTATTATTGATTTACTTAGTGATGCCCATGCCCTTAAATGGGCATCAAGTTTTTTTGAGGGGAAAAACAACAAAACAAGCAAACAAAAACCCAACCGAAGATGCACGAAAATACAGAATTGTGGTTAAGATGACCCGCCCATCCTAATATTAGTATAGCATCCTTATCATACAAAATCTATTTGACACATAGGATGACTTCACCCACTTTGGAATCATTTTATCAGATTAGACCACCTATCTCCAAGTACAACTCTGTCAAAAGTAGTCACCCTGCAAAAGTGGGCAAATTCACTACTAATCTTCGCTTAATTTACACAAATTATATTTTTTTTCTAAGAACAAATTTGAAATTGAAGGTAAACATAATATTCAGAGTTTCAGCAAGGCCAGGGACAGAATGCATGAATTTGACATGAGTGACTTAAACCGCTTTGTTATAATAATGCGTAGGATGAACTCAGTCCTTTTATCCTTTTTTAGAGATGAAACCTTTCAGATTTTAATCTGACAGCAGATTTTTAAAAATTTTTCAGTGGAATTTCAGATTTTTTTAACGATCCCACAAAGACGATTATATAACGATTTTTCCACAAAACTTTTTTTTTTCATTATAATTTCAAACTAGAGGTTGTAGGAACAACAACACGGTGTTGGGCCATTGATTACCGCAAACTTTGCCAAACACACCAATTCAATTTCAGATTTGTTTTGCCAAGGCCAGTTTCATCTCTGTTTTTTGTCTTGAGAGGGCCGTCAGTGCAACAAACTTTGGGACAATTCCTCATAATTATGTGGGAGATTAAAGTTTATCTTTATGTGGTGTACACAAGTTCCAGGGGTCTCTTTACACGCTCACATTGTGGATATCTCTACCTTTAAATTTGTCATATTGTAGTTAAATGAATTTAACTGAATAGTCCAAACATGGGAAAATAGACCAGCAATGTATACAATGGCCTATGAAGTAACAACTACCGAGTGTAACGAATTATATTTGTTTAATGTTAATTTTAGAAGGTATTTGAAGGATTGGAACACGGCACTTACAAGAGTAAACTGATATTCACTGAAAAGCTATTATGCTTCCTAACCGATGAAGATGGCAGAAACTAAAAATGTTGGCCCCAAACTGCAATTTGATAGGTCGCCACCCAATTTAAGGTAGATTAGATCCACTAAACATGTACAAACCTCCTGGAGTATTAATGTCCAAGTCTATATGCCAAACCAACATGCAGAATAACACACAGAGCTCTTAGATGTTGGACAAGGAGCGGCACTTGATGGGCGTGTGTTAAAATGTATGTGTGTTCTGCATAAGTTCATGGGTGTGGTTAGTCGAGTCTTCCTATTTGTGGAGGATGGGGAGGGAAGAACAACCTTACCCCGCTATGCCACTGACTTGTATTTATCCTAACAACGGTAAACATGATGTGTACTGAAGGGCAGTTGCATGTACGATGTACTCAAATCCTCAGCAGTTTGAAACCTACCCTGTTCCTCAACTATCCCTTCAAATGAAATTTAAGTACGTTTTGTCAGAAAGGGGTCATCTTCTCTCAACCTGGCAGGGTCAGGACGTTTTTAATCAACAAGGCCAGGGGTAAATATGCAGCACGTTTACAAAGCACCATGTAATAGGCCATGCACCAAACAGATGCCCAGAACTATGTCTATTGTCAGCATTGAAGGCCTAGACAATAGCCCTAGATTTAGAAGCGGCCTCAGTTTCAGAGACAGAGCTGAACACATGCTGTATCATGTTGACCTCAGCTGATTACTGCTCCTAATTTTCATGTTGGCTTGCCATTGACAAAGCGCAACTATTGTAAAAAAGGAACAACAAAAATGACCTTTTCTTTTTTACCTGGAAACCTTAAGGCTTTATGGATTTAGTTTGCTGTTTTGGGATAGGAATAAATATGCTTTAATAACTCAGCTTTGCATCACTGCACAAAAAACTTGGAATATTTATATAGCGTCTTTACCATAAACAATCTGTTTGAGTCATCAGGACCAAATTTCACGGCGTTTCTCAACAGTTAGCAAAAAAGTTGTGCTTAGCACTAAAGGTCGCGCGTGCATGGAGATTTCTACTGTTACGTCACTAAGTTAAGCGTGCCTTTTGCTGTGCTTATTTTTACAGTCTCCATGAAATAGACGAGAGGATCTGTTAGCAGAAAATCATGTGCTCAGCATCGCCTTGAAAATGGGCCCAGATGGCTTCACCCACTCAGGACTCATTTTGTCAGATTTGTAGACTTTTTCTGTCAAAAGGAGTCGACCTGCCAATAGCTGGGTAACTTCATATATTTTCACTTATTTTACACAAATAAGATTTATTTCTACACTTGACAATGGCTCCCCTTCCTTAAAAAAAACAAAAAAACCCAAAAAATAAACGCAAACATATTTAGAGGTTTGGTAAGACCACTTAAAGACATGCGTGACCTAAACCACATTGTAATACCGATGGCTAAGTAAACACGTCAACTTTATCTGCTAGGAATGACGGCGTAGGATGGATTCAGTCCTTTGTCTTGAGTGGACCACCAGTCAGATGAGCCGTCAGCCAATAGATGAAGACTGGCTGGATGATGGCAATGAATAGCAGGAGATACAAGCGTCGCTTGTTGCCATGGCCAATGCTATCTTCGTGGGACTCTGGCAGGATGATCAGCTTCATATTCCGGACCTGCATCAAATCATCAATTACCGCATCAAAAGACTAGCTATTCAATCCTCTATCAAAGTGATTTGAGACTTTGCATAGTGAGGAGTACAACTTGGGAGGTGGTTATGGATAATCATATGGAGTGGCATTCTTTCAACAGACATGGTTCTGAGACGTATAAGAGATGTTAACTCGATGTTAACTCGATGTCTCCTGACAATGGTCAGAGCATATTAATTGAAATGTTGAGTTAACAGCTCTGGCTCTTCTCAGAATCACCTCGCTTTTAAGAGATGGTCTCTGCACATGGAATAAACTGTTTTGTTATATCCTGTCTAATGGCTGTATTGTATTAGAGTCCCTGCATTTCCTTGCAAGTCCATCACAAATCTTTCAGTCACAAATCAAGTCACAAGCTATTCAAATAAACTATTACAAAAGAATCCCTTGGTCCTTGTTCATCCAGTTACTTGTGACTGGCTTTATGAAAGGACTTGTGACAGGACTTGTGATGTACTCGAATACAACACTGTTTGACAGTGTCTTGGATAGTGTAATTTCTTTGGTCAAAAATGGCCATTTGTCCAGTTTTAAAAAATGGCTCTTGGTTTGCTTCATATACACTGCACTGCATTATCTCGCAACAAAGAACTGAAACTCAATCTCATCTCTTGCAGGAAAGTTCACAGTAATCAAAAGGTCACACGGCAGTGATTTAATTTTTAAAAAGTTGAAAACATTTATTTTATACATTTATTGGCATCATATGACTAAACAATTGTGGATTGTTTTGACGTAGAAAATGTTTTTTAACCCCTCAAGTGCTTTGCAAAAACACCATATCCCACATCACAGCAGTCAACAATATCCCAAATCACAGCAGTCAACAATTGTGAAATGTTCATTTTCTCACTCACCAAAAAGAACATTATTGAGATGCTGGAGTACAGGAGCGCAATGTAGTAGCCGAGGGATTGAAATAGAATACTGGCAAGAACACAAACAATCATTCTGTAATGAGAGGAAAAACAAGACGGATAGAAATTATATTGTTATACCTCTGTCTTGAATACTGTATTTTCACTGGCCTAGAACGATCACATGTTAAGTTTATAAAAAGTCATGGCACAACAGGCAGTGTGCTATGATTATGTATTCGTACGATTCGTGTGAAACGCTTGTATCGTTGGTACCCACGCTATTTCCACCATGTTTTCACACGTGAGTGGAAGCAGCGAACTAGCAGACGATCAGCTGTTTCGAGCTTATTTGCCTTGTACTGTTGGTTACAAGTAGGCCATACTAGAAAAGTACATGAGAGATATGAATGATTCTTTTACTTAAAAAAAACCCAATTTTAATTGGGCTTTTACATCCTAGATCTGGAACACGCTACATGCAGAACATCTTTTAAACAAGTCAGGTGTGTTTACAAACACAAATGCCCCGCAACCGTGACTGTTTCCATGACATAACACCACTCTAACATCAACTTACATGTACCTTGGTCAAATGGAACGTTCATTGACAGCATTAGTGTCTTCTGTAGGTTTTATATGAATTAATCCCTAATCCCTATGATGTCAGAATAAATACAAGATTTCTAGTGTTTAGGCCACTGTGACCTTGACCCTTGACCTTTCGACCCCCAATGCGATAGGCTCCTTAGGATTGCCAAGGACAATCCACAAACCAAATTTGAAGTTCATATGTAAAGTATATCTCAAGTTATCACGCTGACAAAATTTCTTTTGTTTTTGCCACTGTGACCTTGACCCTTGACCTTTTGGCCCCAAATGCAAAAGGCTTCTTAGGATTGCCAAGGACAATCCACAAACCAAATTTGAAGTTCATATGTAAAGTATATCTCAAGTTATCGCGCTGACAAAATTTCTATTGTTTCAGCCACTGTGACCTTGACCCTTGACCTTTCGGCCCCCAATGCAATAGGCTTCTTAGGATTACCAAGAACAATAAACAAACCAAATTTGAAGTTCATATGTAAAGTATTTCTCAAGTTATCACGCTGACAAAATTTCTTTTGTTTTAGTCACTGTGACCTTGACCCTTGACCTTTTGGCCCCAAATGCAAAAGGCTTCTTAGAATTGCCAAGGACAATCCACAAACCAAATTTGAAGTTCATATGTAAAGTATTTCTCAAGTTATCGCGCTGACAAAATTTCTATTGTTTCAGCCACTGTGACCTTGACCCTTGACCTTTCGGCCCCAAATGCAAAAGGCTTCTTAGAATTACCAAGGACAATCCACAAACCAAATTTGAAGTTCATATGTTAAGTATTTCTCAAGTTATCGCGCTGACAAAATTTCTATTGTTTCAGCCACTGTGACCTAGACCCTTGACCTTTCGGCCCCAAATGCAAAAGGCTTTTTAAGGATTACCAAGGACAATCCACAAACCAAATTTGAAGTTCATATGTTAAGTATTTCTCAAGTTATCGCGCTGACAAGATTTGTCCGGACACACACACCCACACACAGTCGTTTTTATGCCCCGCGGCGAAGCCGAAGGGGCACACTGTTTCCGCCTTGTCCTTCCGTTGGTGGGTGTGTGGGTGTGTGGGTGGGTGGGTGTGTGTGTCTGGATAAATTGTGTCAGCGCGATAACTTGAGAAATACTTAACATATGAACTTCAAATTTGGTTTGTGGATTGTTCTTGGTAATCCTAAGAAGCCTTTTGCATTTGGGGCCAAAAGGCCAAAGGTCAAGTTCACAGTGGCTAAAACAATAGAAATCTTGTCAGCGCGATAACTTGAGAAATACTTAACATATGAACTTCAAATTTGGTTTGTGGATTGTTCTTGGTAATCCTAAGAAGCCTTTTACATTTGGGGCCAAAAGGCCAAAGGTCAAGTTCACAGTGGCTAAAACAATAGAAATCTTGTCAGCGCGATAACTTGAGAAATACTTTACATGTGAACTTCAAATTTGGTTTGTGGATTGTTCTTGGCAATCCTAAGAAGCCTATTGCATTTGGGGCCAAAAGGTCAAGGGTCAAGTTCACAGTGGCTAAAACAATAGAAATCTTGTCAGCGCGATAACTTGAGAAATACTTAACATATGAACTTCAAATTTGGTTTGTGGATTGTTCTTGGTAATCCTAAGAAGCCTATTGAATTTGGGGCCAAACGGTCAAGGGTCAAGTTCACAGTGGCTAAAACAATAGAAATCTTGTATTTATTCTGAGATTATAGGGATTAGGGATTAATTCATATAAAACCTACAGAAGACACTAATGCTGTCAATGAATGTTCCATGTGACCAAGGTACATGTAAGTTGATGTTAAAAGAGAGGTGTTATGTCATGGGAACAGTCACGGTTGCGGGGCATTTGTGTTTGTAAACACACCTGACTTGTTTGCTATGCTTCCGAGGATTGGCTTTGTGTTTTCCTTTGTCCCTGTAATATAACACTCTCCCATAGACTAAGCACACAAACCTGCGTTCGAGGACAATAGGCACCTTCCTTCGAGGATCAATGGCCCCTTTGTGCTCCTTTTGTTGTCTGTCCTCAGGCGTAATGCCATGCAGGAACACACCCACCCACCCACCCACACACCCACCCACCCACGGAAGGACAAGGCGGAAACAGTATGCCCCTTCGGCTTCGCCGCGGGGCATAAAAATAGGGGTTGCCATTTGGGTTTCCTTTTTTTGACTCACTTGCATTATTCCCTTTTTCATGAGACACAACTGTCATCATTCACACACGAGTGTGAAACTTGTCTCCCTAAATGCACATCACTCTCAACATGCATCCAGTTTATACTCCCTTTAGAACTTTCCAGTTTGTCTACCAAGAATGCACAGACGGCAACTCACCCCACATATTTGTAGCCACAGAATGCCACCAGGTCAAGTTTCCGCAGTGCTGTATGGATGTTCATTATGTACAGTGTCAGGAGTACAGCCACTATCTCAATGATCAACCAGACCAGTGCCGTACTCGCCTGTATACCTAACTGCTCTGGGCTGAATCTAAGCAAAGAACAAAATACACACAAACAAACCAATTTGTGTCTGTTGAACTCAATCATGATATAATTTCAATTATATCATGAATTTTTACTACACTGGCTGACAAATCTAGCAAATTTCACTTGGTACATTGAGAATACTTCACAAAGATTATGACACACCTTCTGTGAACGAGTTTGCTACCAAGGAGACCAGTTTGAGACCAATCTTGATGGGTCAAGACATTCCACCAACAAATTATGAATGGGGTTTATATCCCACGAACCTTTGGATTCTGATCATGCTAAGAATGTATAAAGAACAACAAAAACACACTTTCAAGTCAGTTGACTGTAGAAAAGAACTTAGTCTAACAACTAGAGCAAAAGTCTTCAGCTTACTGCTCAAACCGTGGGATCAATGACATATTGCCAACGTTGGCAGAATTGATAGGTTTTTGGTCAATGTTAGTGCATGACCAATAATAATTCACTTCAGTAGAACAACTTGAAATTAACAAACTCTGTATCAAATTTGCCACTGCCAAAAGCTCTTGGCGATTTTGTTTCTTTAATTCTGAAGTAACTTTTTCATGCGTTCTATTTTGAGTGATAAAATGGAATTCAGGACTGACTGAAAATGGACTTTTGGAAACCCAGCAAAAAGTCACTGGTTATAAATTTCAAAATTTGATCTCCAAAAAAATGTTTCCCTGGCTTTACTTTACAACTTACTTGTCTTGCCTTCCCAGAGCCACCCCAGCCAGAAGTATGTAGGTGACGAAGCCCATGACGGGGATATACAGGTCTGGTGCATTCACCTCATACCTAGGGGCCACTGGCTCATCCTGCTGGTTGTAGCCAATGGTCCACTCCTGTCCAGGAACGACGATGGAATCAGATATATAAAAAGAGAAATGATTAACCTCATTATCTCCAAATTTGCCACTATGGGCTCCGTGCGCCAACAAGAGAGGGCGCTTTTAACCATATTCGAGAGCCCCGTGAACGGGAAGCACTGCATGCGCGTACTTGTTCACACACGTATTTACGCAAAGTAGGCACAACTTATTTTGTTCTGAATGTGCACAAAGCCATAGCGTGTTTGCATGAGTGTTCGGTGTTGTCGGCAATGTGTTCGAATATCTCTCCCAGTGATCTTTGCCAACTCTCCCTTTCTTACCATACTGATTATGATAATGTGATTACGATAAATGATAAATTTATCAACAAATGTTGCATGTTTTGTCTTATGCGCAGTGATAAATGTCAAAGTGTTAGTATTTTATCACATTTTCCATGGACAAATCTTACTGCCGGCTGGAAAATAGCAAAGTCATCTATGAGAAACAGAGCTTGAATGCCAGGCCTGCTTCACCGTAGGTACATGTATTCTCAGCATGTATTGTTAGCACTGACTGAATGTGGTATGCAGTCTGCTTACCGTATGTGTGAAGGGACAGAGAAGTATGGCCAGCTTCTTAGCAACATACGTTGTGTCCACTGCAAAGTAGTATTTCAACTTGCTCAATGACATGAATCTGTCAATCTGTAAACAAAATGACAATTGTTCAAGATCAAGATTAAGATTACAGTTTCTATAGTCACTACATATGCAGACAAGCTGATTTAATAAGGTTTTTAATGAAAAAAAAACACCTTTTACTCCTGCAAGTTTAAACAGGATTTGAATTTGAAGGGCATCTTTTATGAGATCAACTAAAACGATGACAATTTAGGAGTGTTGTTAAGAAAATTTAGTCACTGAAATACGTACACAACATAGATATTCATGCTAGAACCTGTCAAGAAAAAAAAAGACAGAAATGTTTGTATCAGAGTTGGGGAATATCTGGGTTGGGAAAATTCCACCTATGGGCACTGGCCGCACTGCCATTCAAGTCTACAAGTCTACATCAAATGCTAGCAGACTGAATCGCATTCCTAGAGTGATGAGGGGGAAGACTGGTTACCATACCTGTTTCTCCATAACATCTTTGCCATGGTCCGCCAGACTGGCACCATACTGCATGGCCATGTTGGCCATAGGGTCATTCATTATCTGCTGACCAGGAAACATCATCTCTTGCTGTTGCTGGGGTTGACCATATGACCCCTGACCCTGGAAAGTGCCCCCGGGCCCAGGTTGCCCTGGCCCCATGTTACTGGTATCGTCAAAGAGAGGGGTAGGTCCATCATGGCCCTTGGTTCGCTGTGGTCTTCTGTGATGTCCTTGTGCTTGTTGACTCGCTACAAAACAATTACACAGGCACCAGAATTTAAATTGGTACATGATGTGCAGGTCAGCACATCGCTCGACGCATATTAATCACAGCCCTCCCCCCCCCCCAAAAAAAAATTGTAGTAATTTCACAGATTCAGGATTGAAGAGCCTATTCATCATGACCTTATAATTACATGAGGCTTGACGTCCCAATCTTGTTGACGAACCTGTACATATGTATTTAAGATGTTTGTGGTTCATTTATTGTTACAGTAATGATTTTGGGAGGATTTGGGAACCTTCCTAGCAAACTGCACAAGAATTAGGGTTGAGACTTGAGGTAATACCCCTGGCCTGACCATCATGCCAAGAGCAAATATTTCAATTTGTCAGGATTATTACAATAAAACTGATATTCAGAGACATCAAACAAAGATTTAAGCCAAAGCTTTTCGGAGACACTGTTTGGCTCAACAAATCTTTCCTTTGGTTAAAAACACATTTAAATTATGCTCTGAGATTGAATATAAAACACTCACTTGAACATAATAGACCCACTGCCTGTATGTCATATCATGACTGAAGCTGAACAAGATCTTGAAAAATCGAAACAAGGGCATTCTAAAACGTGTCTGCATGGGAATTTTGGGGGGTAAAACTCAGCGAGGATCATGGATGGTATTTTTGCTATTTTAAGTCCTCCTCTCATTTACTTTTCCTGAGTCCAGTGGTTACTTTTATTGGCCACAATTTGCCTAGTAAAAGTGACCACGTCACCTTTCTAGAGATGAAAAGTCCTGTGTGGGCAGTGCCAGCAAACGAAAGCTGTACAATGTACATCTGGGCACAGCACGACGAAGGTCACACTACAAGGGCACACTGTACACAGGCACACTGCACAGTACGCAGGCAATTCTTCAGCTAGCATTTCAATCGTTTCTCAATACACTGCCTTCGATCGGATTTGTGTACATTTTTCAGGAAAGTATTAGTAGGTACTATTAGGGACACCATTATAGACTTTAAGCCCCCTTAATCCTTAGTAACAAGACATTATTGATTATTCACTGATATTATTAGCAATCAACATTCCATAACATGTCATGTTACACAAATATCGAGGGCACAGGACAGTCGATGGCACAGGCATGTCTATTGTCTGTGACCAGCTTGGTTACTTTTGCCAACATCCAAGTCCAAAGCACAAGTGCAGACACTGGTAACATTTTTACCCTTCCCATTTTTACCGCCTTGGACATGTTGGAAAAATCTCACACACAAAAATAGTCCAACGCAAACACAGGCTTAGTCATGACTTCATTAACACCATAAAACTAGTCACTATAACAGGTAAACACCATGCCAAACAACATAAAATTATGAATACATAGTCATGACCACTGATGACAGTGCTTCGGTTGTGCAACATGTGGTACAAAAATGTGTGGGCATGGTGGGGTGCCATAAAAACAGACAGAAAAGACATTTAAACAAATCAATATATATTTAAGAAAGAATATACAAATAAAATTTAATCATAACGAGCAAATTCACAGGACCGTCATGATAAACTTAATTAACTAAAGGGATCAACTCCATGAATGTCTAGTCCGAGTAACTACATGAACTAGGACTCTACGGATCACTTTTGTAACATTTGGACATGGTCAACTCTACCATGTCTACGGATCACTCTTTTAACATTTAAATGTTAAAAAAGCGATTTGTTGAGTCCTAGTAACTTGGACTAATGAATGTCCAAATTAGGTTAATATCCCCCCCCCCCAAAAAAAAAGCTAGTTTACTTTTTTGGCAGTGGATATTTTGCTGTGACCGGCAATATAGGCCGAGGGCCTACCTCCTAATGCTATTTTGCCGTGAGTGTGCTGTGTTTGGCTGTTTCGATGTGAAACTGAAAGGTATGTTTTATGACTGTGCAACGAGCAAGCAACAGATGAACACGTCAACATGCAATACAGCTGACACTGCAGGATAGCTACGAACAGCATGCGAGCATTCTGCACACCTAAATAAGATAATTGTAACATACACTTACGATGCCTGAATCCAGCTGGGTGGTCCATACTGACAAATGTCAAAATTGATAACAAAAAAAAGAGTATTTGTGGAGAAATGTAGGATACTTATCAAGGCTAACCCACGACGTTGTGCCACGACGATGACACTAGCCACATCGCTCAGCAATGTACTGGTTTCCTAGCATATCTGCTGCGAGTGGACTATACAGTGCAGTAAGCACGTAAGATTCAGGCAACCAGTGCCAAGTGTTAACATGAGTCTACGACTGTTTTATATCAGAACGACTGACCCTTTCCACTACGGGTCCGCTGTACTAATTCAAGCCCCATTGAAAACAGTGTAAAATCAACAAAGTTCAGGGCCAAATAACATGCAAGCCAACATCACTGGGGTTTCTCAAACAAAAATTTAATTATTGTTTTGTCTTTCATCTTTTCATTTCTTTTCAATTTTAGGTACATTAGCCAATTACATTTTTAAATATTCACACCCAAATAAAATCACCTCCCGAAAAGTGATAGTTCCCAAGCCTGCATGTAGCCATTTTACAAGTGGCATCCTTCCACTTTCACAGGCAAATAGGACCCATTTTTCATCCGTGATTTTATCAAGCCTGCCCTCAGATGGAAGCCCAAAAACCAGGGAGTTGATCCTTGGGTATATTTTCACCATTCCACCGTTTTTAAAGCCAAACGGTCTCCGTTTTCAAAAGAAATTGTTGCGTAGAAATTCTCACTTGAATTAGTTCAGTGCACCCCTACCTGAGGTCAACTGGACGGAGATCAAAATATATTATTTGTCAAAACACAAAACAGTTACGGATTTTATTCGACTGTGATAGTCTTGGCTCAAGGCGTTGCTTCTTCAAGTAAAGTGCGTGCTTGGCCGGTTAATTATCACAATTATTAAGTAAAAATTTGTTTAGCGAATGCTTTTCGGGGATTTTACATTAATTCGTACAGTTATAATGCATTTATGACATTATTGTTTGCCTATCTGCGGTTTATCTGATGTTGTTCAAGGATAAGCTTTTGAAGTGACATGTGGTGGTGTGATGTATGGAGAGCAAAGTCTTAAATTATTATGTCAACAATGATTTTTGACTGCTGTAACAATGCAGCAGTGCTTTTGTTGCTGTTTTGCTTACTTTCTGAACAACAAACCACAAAGAAATGATTGCTGTCATTGATTGCTGTCATCAGCCAATGTTAAGGTTAATATTGGCTTATGTGCAAGTGGATATACCTTTGTGAGACGTATATTTCTTCAAAATATAATTTTATTTATTTTAAAATTGATTACGATGAGAAAAACAATTTATGTGTGAAGATTTTCATTCATTAATATAATTTTTAAATATTTTATCGACTGCGTAATAAATGCTAGGGCCTTGTGATTTGTTCATTGGGCATTGAACCATAGAGCAAAGAATTTGAAAGACGTGAGATGCTGCCAAATGTTGAACATACAGGGTTCATCTAGATCACAGACATCAAAACACAGTATCCACGGTGATTTGGTGTGTATCACCTCACACTTATTATCCCTCTCTTGATTGGCTGAGAGATTATTGCAAGGTATTTATTGCTGTTCTTCAACAGCCATGTTAGTCCATTAATTTGAGTAAGCATGGTTGTTCAATATTATGTCTAGACTGTAGCCATTAAATGAGGTTTCAGCATTAGGATAAGTTATGACCCGTAGATATTGCAGCAAGCATGCAAAGAAGAGCTTTACTATGGGGGAAAACGTTGTCAGGTGTGACCTTGCAAAAACAGGATTCTTCTTCCAAGCAGTTTGATTTTCAAAAAATAATAATTTGAATATTGTTACAGCAGGCTCGTCATCAGCCAGCTGTAGCCGGACCGTGTGCTGCATGAATGCATGATCTCGATTGTGCCATGCGCACGTACTTCACTGCCCTGGAAATACTCGATCATCTACATTGAGCGTGCTAATTCACTTAAATTCTCCATGTTTTCCTGCATATAAATGTAGCCACTTCATTAAAACTTCTGCAGTACTGCTTGAATAGAATATAAAGGGAAATATGTGAGTACTATTGCCGGAAAGAATTGCAACCTGACGAAGTGACGTAGTCATGGTAGTCCGAGCAGTATGTAGGATTCTACGGATCGCTTTATCATGTGTCTATCGCCCGACCATGTCCAAGTGTTAAAGGGAATATACAACATTTGCAAACATCGAAAAATAAAACTACCAAGTTTTTGCGAAATACCTTAATAGGACGTTGGTAAATGACAGTCTAAAGCATCCTGTAAAATTATGGCACCTGGTATACTGTCATTTTCAAGAAAAGTGGTATTTTTGTATCAATTTCCAACGCTGATCGGCCGATCAGCGTTGGAAACAACTGGCTTTTTTTCAAATACTGGCCCCAATTGACTATTGCACTTGTTTGCAATCGATTACAAACCTATGAACGGGTACGAGCCAGCTAGACTGGTTCCCTGACCTTACAATTCCCCAATGTATGTAAACTGCTCTGTTTCTTCTTATATGGAGTCAGGGAACCAGACTACAGGTACATGATCGTTTTTCTTGGCTTTTGTAGCATTTTCGAACCCAAAACCTCCAAAAAGTCAGTGTAACTATATTTGCTTTATATTTCCAATCCCCCAATTCCATCCATTTCTGAAAATTACAGCAAAAGCAAATGATGTATATTCCCTTTAAAAAAAACGATCCTTAGAGTCCTAGTTACTCGGACTAAACCTGACGCTACTTTTTATATCTTCTCAATGAAGGTCAGTCATTGCAAAAATGATGATAAGACATGAATCTGGGACTGAGAAACATTTACAATTTTGTTGGGAATGTCACTCTTGACTCTCCATAGACTTTGTACACAACTGCTGAAGTGGCGTCAGGTTGCAACATTCTTTCCCTATGACTGTATTGCCTGTTCTTACTCCTAGAACTATGATGCTCCGCTCACGCGTCATAGTTCTAGGAGTAGGCCTAGCCTGTGTTGTGACTAGCTTGAAATTTCCAGCTTAATGCGCTCATGGTCATGCATTATTATATGCAAGACTGGTGAGATTTCTGAAAAGTGTGAATGTAATAGGAGCATTTTGGGCTTAAAAGTTGGGAACCAGACTTTTTTCCCATAATTCAGGTATGCTGAATCTAATAAGCCCGGTTCCCAAACAAAATTATGAGGTTTTTTAACCGTCTAATTAGCATAAATCGTTAATACCTATATACCGTGTACATATTCCTTCCCGGGAAAATTCGGCCAACCGATCACCACTTACCTGCCGCCAAACATCCAAATTTTCACCTCACCTTGTGATTTCAACCAAGAGGAATCCAGAAAAGAGTGGACATGCGGAAAAAAAATTGGTAAAAATGTGTTTTTGGAGCACATTTTGCATGCACATGTAGTGCAGATCTGAGTTGAAGCAGCCGGTCAAAACTGATTGAAGTGTCTGGAACAGCGGTACGTTATACGCATGACATCGATAACCATGACGTCGCATGAGACGTCGCATGAGCCGGCCAATGATAGTGCAATACGTCATTATGAATATTTATTTTCTCATGAATATTTAGTTTATTTCAATGGATACTTCAAATACGTCCAAAGATTGATCATTGCAACAGCGATCGTGCGCGGCCTAGCGGTTAAGAGACTCGTGTATCAAGCAAGCGTCCGAGGTTCGAATCTCGATGAAGTGAGTGACTGATTGATAAATAGAAATTAAGGAAAGGAGGGGGTTAGAGTAGAGGAGGGAAAGTGGAGGGAATAACCATAAAAGAGGTAACTTTTGGCGCTAGAAAATTAATTGAAAAAAGTGGTGATCGGATAGCCGAATTTTTCCTTGTTCCCCTATTTGGGAACATTGTTTTATACTTTTTTTTGAAAAGTATATTTTGGTGATTTTATTTACACATCCTTACTTCAATAACATTTTCTAAAGCACATGTGACTGAATAATTATTAGTATAAATAGTAATCATCCAAAATGGCTATTATTTTACCCTAAAGTTGCGCGCATTTACCGGTATCTTGTCTCCAGATATCATCAAGTAGTCTTGCCAAACCTCAGTATTGATGAGCTTCAAATTCACCAAGTTGCTTATTTGCACAGTTACCCTATTAAAACTTTATGGAAAATCATGTGAACAATGATAACATTGTGATATTTAGCTCAGAAAACAAAAATGGGGACAAAACGAGGTGTCTGTAAATTGGGCTAAAAATAGTAAAAGGTACATGTATGATGTAAGTGAAGGGTTGCCTAACGTAAGAGACTTGAACAAGTTCAAGGAAATTCCCAAAATTATAAGTAAGAAAACGTTTTGACGTAGACATAATTATTGTAAACAACAATATCTCTTAGTTTGGGGGATTTCCTTGAACTTGTTCAAGTCCCCCCCCCCACATTAGGCAACCCTTCGCCTAATTTTTAGCCCAATTTACGGACACCTCATTTCCCCCTTTTTTTTGGGGGGGGGGGCTAAATATCGAGATGTTCTCATTTTTCCCATTTGTTTTTGTTAGGGTAACTGTGCCAGTAAGTAACTTTGTTGATTTAAGCTCATCAATACTGACGTTTGGCGTGACTAGTTGATTATATCTGAGGAAACGGTAATTGCGCGCAACTTTAGGGTTTAATAGTAGCCATTTTGGATCTTTATTAATGTCCTCATAATCATCTAGACCCTGATATGCTTTAGAAAATGTTATTTAAGTAAAGGATATGTAAGTAGAATCCCCAAGATACACTTTTCAAAAAATTAAAAAAAATTAAAGTATACCCAAATTTGGGAATAAATATATTACACGGCAGGTATTTAACGATTTATGCAAATTAGACGGTCAAAAACTCAAAATTTCGATTGGAAACCAGTTTTATCAGATTTGAGTTATGCCGAAAAGCCTAGTTCCCAACTTTTGCCCAAAAATTCCCCTTGATTCTTATTTATAGTTTTTTTTCAGAAATCCCACTAGACTACCATGATATGAGCCTAATACTGTAAGCTGGAAATTTCAAGCTAGTATGTGACTAGTACTAGCCTAGGCCTACTGTGAGTAGACATGGGGAGTGTCACTTTTAAAGTGACGAAATCCCTAGTCCCACAAATGTGACTGAAATACTGGGCTACCTCCGTATTACAGTCACGCATGCTACATACGGCCTGTGCATGGATAGTCCCATTGCTAGGAGAGCAGGAAATCAATTTAAGATTGAAATTATTTTGTCAGTTGAAAATCACCCCGGCTATTTTGATAGGTGCATTAAAGCATGGAGGTAGAATCCATGATTAAAGTGACAATCTCCAAGTCTTGGGTGGGGCAGCTGCTGCAGTTACTATGAAGTAGTACTGTATGTTTGCTTTGTACCCATGGCAGACCCTTGGCAATGCAGCCATCAAAATGAGTATTAAGTTTGAGGGATGATTCTCATCTTTTGTTTTTTCGGTGTCCTTCTGTCATTATTAATTGCATTAAGCATGTCTTCTGTGGGGGGGGGGGGGGGGGGGGGGGGGGGGGGGGGGATACTCCCTCCCCAAAGTCCCATTGCCCCCCCCCCAAAAAAAAACCCCTGACACTTGCCCCTTGCCCAAGACGTGTCTGTTGTTTACTGTAATTAAACCAGAAGATGGAGGAATGTATAGACAAACTAGTTTTTAACTCGATGCTAATTGCCTTCACCCTACGGATTTATGAAGTATGAATAAAGACATAAGAAAATAAAGCAATTAGCTGGCCAGTTGGCACCCTGAACATTTGGGAAAAGTTTGTTGTGTATCCATCCCTAGGTGCCGCTGCGCCCCCCCCCCCCCCCCCCCCAAAAAAAAACCCACAATCCTGGCCATGCTACTGCTTTGTATACAACTGTTTTGAACACTTACAGGACCGTTACTGTTGCTCTTACCATTTCATTCTGTTATTCATCAATGAGCATACATTTATTTCATCAGCAAGATGGCCCAATCCTCTGATGAATATCTGGACCTCCTAGAACCTCGGCGGAATCAGTATGACCTCAGCTTTGCGCTCAAGCACACGGCTTCACTGCTGCCCGAGTACCAGTATGTCACACACATGACCAAGGCAGAAATCAGAACGATGGTGCTCAAGTCCCGTCGGTTGAAACACACAGTGGAAGAGGTACGTGTAATCTTGCATCATGTGTAGCAAGTTGGTCAGTCTCAGTGGTCCGAAGCTTCAGGGGGGCAATACCAAGTAACTTCTAAGCTCAACATTTTGTTAAGCTCAGAAAATACTTGCATACTTTATTAATTAACCCTAACCCTGCCAGACGCAGCACAGTGCATCAGGTTAAAGGTTGTATTAAGTTCATCACGCCCTTGCCACAAATGATTGAACAGTCATGGTCGCTGTGGAAGGGGTCAAAATCAGCACTGTGACAAGTTACTGGATTTGTTATAATTTACATTTAACCCTAACTCCCTAGGCATTTTTACTAGGATGCAACCTCAATCATCCAACTACCTCCATGTAAAAATTGCATACAGCCTCAATCCTGCAAAATCCTCCAGTAATCACTGTCAGTATGTTGAGACAGAACCAGTGACATCCTGGAGCAGTGCGGAGGATTTCAAGTATAATCTAGGCCTAAATTTATGCACGGCTGAGCATAAAACAACACAAGGTCCGGCCCAAGACCTTTACACAGTGCATCCTCCAAAATCAGCTACACATTTTTACCATATAGCCTCAATCTTGCCAATCCTTCATTTTGCAAAGATGATTTTGGAGGATTTGGGAAGGTTAGGGTTTAAGATGGGTATATACTTTTTTTAAGACACCCTGTATATATCAAACTGAACTGGGCCAACTGAACCCGGCAAGCTAAGTGGCCAGTGGTGGTTAAGACATCTGCACCAGTATACAGGAGGGTGTGGATTCAAGACCTGCCCAAATTACGCAGCCCAAGAAAGCTTGTAAAGTTTTCTTCATATGATGCCCCAAAATTGACTAATAATGCTGATAGTCCAACATTTCATGCGGAGCTCTCAGACAATACTGAGTCTGTAGTGCTTTATCAATGAAGGGCAAAACCCACATTTAAACCTTGGTCTCATTTGTCTTACTGGCTTTCTCTCATAGATTGTTGCCAGCAACGGTCGTCAAGAGAAAGACATCTATGCAGAAGCTGAGGCTATACTTGATGAGATGGCTCATGAATATTCATTGAACAACATACGCTTCTTGGCCTACATCTTTGCTAAAACATTCAAGAAGCTGTACGGACACATCTATGTCAGTAAAACAGGCCTTGAGAAAGTAAGTAAAGCTACAGTTTTATCAATAAAAAGCACGGGACAGATGATGGCAATTTTTTGTCCCCTGTCAAAAGTTGTTACCTGAATAGTGTTCAGTCAGGAAACTGATCAAACTTGCTGTTTCTACCAAGAGTGTCTTGTACTGTTTGATAAGAGGTCGTCGTGTAGCTTGCTTGATTGATCACTATATGCTTATGATGAGTTCAAGCATAACGGGGCCAATTTTCATGGATCTGCTTAGCTTATATGAAGCTAATCCCCGTTTAGCTGTCACCGGCTGCAAAGGGATTACTCCATCAAGTATCAAGTATCAAGAAGCACTGTAATGATTTTCCTCTTTGAATTTCCCAGGATGCACATTGCGTATGAGCTGTTGTTACCTGATTTTTGTTTAGTTCATAACTTTTCTGAGCAGTATATTCTGCTAAGCAGGCCATGATATTGGTCCCAGATTTTTTCCGTAGCGTCTTATTTCACGACGTAGGATATTTGGCAACTTTCTCGATAGGAGGTAGTTTTAATTTCATATATTTCCCTTTGAAAGGAGTTTAATGAATGGTACATTGATTGTGTATCTTTTATTTTAGTCTTTTAAATTTACATGTGCACTATCCTGAAACTGTACTGCATAGTTTTATAGATCCTTAGGAATATAAATGTGCTGTTCTTAATCTGAAGAAGTGTCATTGGATGAGCATGGTATATTGATGTCTTTGAGCAATACACTTTGTCTTTATGTCTACTAACTGTCCTCTGAGAGGAGTGCTTGTGTTTTAAAATCTATTTTGGCATGACTCCACTTCTCCTTTTACAGCTGCGGAAGAGTTACCGTGACTCTCCTGTTGTGCTTCTACCTACCCACCGTAGCTACGTTGACTTCTTACTGATCTCCTACATGATGTTTGAGTACAACCTTCCCTTGCCTTACATTGCCGCTGGTGCTGGTAGGTAACAAAATATCAGTTTAAATATGGGCTGCATGTCTGTATTACTTTACATGGGGCTTAATGCACCTTAACTCTAACCCTCCAGACATTTTTTGTCTAGAAACCCTGCCAAATGTAGCAACATGCAACATTTGTGTAAGTGACAAGCCTGCCCAGTGCAGCAAGATCCATCAGGCAAAAAGTCGAAAGGCAAAAACTGCCTCAGAGTCTGTGATCACCGAACGCAACTATGGCATTGTTCAATAGGATTAGCTCTCATTGTCTCAGAAGGAGCCGTTTATGCACTGATGTTGGTAGCTGAATGCATCAAAGTGCACCAGACTTTTCCACTCACTGTGCTGCGTCTGGCAGGGTAAGGGTTAACACTAACCTCCCCAACTCCATTTAAATCCATCAACCCAGTTTGGTGGATTTTGGGGGACTTTGTCCTGCAGGCATGGTGTGACTAAATATTGATGGAATATGATGGACTTGGGCCTGGAGGCCTACATGTAAAGCATGCATTGGGGTTAGGATTAACTTGCTATTAAGCCATCTAATTAAAGCCATGTTTGCATGGGCCTTTTTTGTGGGGGGGGGGTTAAAACTTGCAGAGACTGTTGTCAACTTGACCAAGTGAAGTCCAGTGCGTACAGCTGGTTATGTACCGCATGTATAGCAATAAGTTTTACAGGGCCAACAGGGTCAAATGGAAGAATTACGTTGTTAGTTTTACATTACTAAAAAGTCCTAGAGAGACGGCTACTATTATGTAAAACTTGCGTTGTGATCACGTGACTTCGGTGTAGGTCAGCAATATTCAGCCGCGTGCCATTTAATGTAGGGCTACAGACTGTACTTGAGATTCAACCGTATTTAGGCTGAGTTTTCTGCGATATTATATGGTGCGTTTTTTACAAAATTAAGTTGGATGCCTTTGTCACAGTTCATGTAAGTAGCTTGTGATTTGACCAGCCCTAATCTTCCAATTCCTCCAAAATCCTCTTTGCGTAATGGAGGATTTCAAAGGATTGAGGGTTTTTGAAAATCAAAGCACTGGAGAATTTTGCCGAATTGAGGGTGTAACATAATTTTGCCTCTGGAGGATAATGGAGGATCCACTAGCAGGCCCAACCGAGGCTGGATGAAATTGGAGGACTGAGGCTCTGGCTGGTTTTGCCTGCCAAAAAAAAAAATGTTATGCATGTATACTTGGGCAGGCATCCGATATATACCACTGTTTATTGTACAGCATCTTCACTCCAACTAATAGGACCTTGGCATTGCCAATCCACAATACAGGATAACAATGGAGGATTGCAATCAATTACACAGACTGATGAACTCATAAGAGCATTGCAATTTGATTATGTGATAACATGCCAGCAAACCCAGTGGAGGATTTCTAAGGATCCAGGCAGAGGCCTCCAGCGACAAAAAGTGGATGGTTTTGAAGGATTCAGGTGCTATTAAGAGTTTTAAACTCTTTGCCAATGGAGGATATTGGAGGATTTAGGCTGCTTCTGTACAACAAAACGGCTAGTGACTTGAAGACTTGTAAGGACTTGACTACAATCTGCCTGTTTGTTCATCGCAGTGAAATCTTTTATCTCTTCTGTTTCCATTCTATTTTTTTTTTTTTATAAATGCCAGATTTCAACAACATGAAATTTGTCAATACTCTGTTGCGGAAAGCTGGGGCTTTCTACATTCGTCGTTCCTTTGGGGCGGATAAGCTGTACTGGGCAATCTTCACTGAGTACGTTCAGATATTGGTCATCAACGGCGAGGCTCCACTGGAGTTCTTCCCCGAGGGAACCAGAAGTAGGACGGGCAAATTTCTGCCTCCAAAAAGAGGTAAGTCTCTCTCAATGAACACACCTCAGATCTGTGCTGACTGATTTGTAGAAACGCATTGTAGGGATGTAATGTTTCATTGATCTATTGATGACCAAGGTAGGAGAATTAATCTACATCAAAGTACTCATCCATGAAAATCTTCAATGAAAGTTATATTATTTCAGAAGAAGTCAGGCACCGCTAGTTCAAATTTATCAACAAGACTTGTTTAAAGTTTTGAACAAATAACCAGTTAAAAATCTGTAGACCTCCAAAAGAAAGTTAAGACCAGGTCCCAGTTTCATAGCTCTACTAACCACATGACTTTGCTAACCGTGTTTACGATCTCCGTTTTGTGCTTACCGCGCTAGCCTAAAAATTCTGTGCAAACCCTGTAAGTACAGCATGCGCAGAAGCCAAAATTCCTCACTTACCTGTGAAATACGCTTATCTTAGACACAGGATTTTCTTTGCTATAGTAAGCAGGGATAATTGTTCGCTAATAGTACGTAGAGCCATGAAATTGGGCCCAGTAGAAGCTGGAACTGTTTCACAGATTAGAAAGCATGGTAAACATAAACCCTGCATTGGAAACTGCTATTTTTCTAATAGAAACTAGAAACTACTAGTTGTGTCAGAAAGAGTTGCATTTGTTCAATATTGTTGTCTGTTTCTCCATATCAGGATTATTACAGGTGGTGGTGGAGCCGTTTATGAAGGGTCGTGTGCCTGACATTAGTCTGATTCCTATCAGTATCAGCTATGACAGGATACTGGAGGAGACATTACACAGCAGAGAGATGTTAGGAATACCCAAACCCAAGGAGTCAACATCGGTGAGAAAGTTTCTTGAATCCCAGAACTTCATTATTCCTCATCCTGTCCACATTATGCTGTGTAAGAGGTTATGAGGACAACCTCTGGCTATTCTCGGACACTATATCTTGTTCCGAAGTAAGCAAGCACACACAAAGTGCCATATGTGAGTGTATTAACCCTAACGTACCTGAATCCATCAAAATCCACACCCCTGTTTTGGAGGATTTGGGCGGAATCAGGATACCTCCATATTGAAAAAGTTGGGGTTTTTTTATGGATTCAGGACAGTAAGCCTAGCGTTACTGCAGGATTTTGATGGATTCAGGGTACCTTCATATTGAGCAGTTGGGGGACTTTGATGGATTCAGGATCTCAACAGATTTACTCCCTAGCGGCTAACTAGTGGATTCTGATGGACTCACTGGCCACCAACATTTTTTTGCATGGCAAAATTGGTAGATTTTGGCGGATTCAGGATACTTTGTAGTAAAAATACCCAAGGGGTTAGGGTTAATGGTTTGTAATTTTGTTACGCTTTTGAAAGATTACACTTTTAAAAGCCAAAAGTACCCCTTGTCTGTACCTTGATGTTGTTGGACTTATGTAGGCCAACTACTCTAGTGTATCCAGTTGGAGCAAGTGCATCCTGATGACATCTGATGAAGGCTCAACTAAATTAAATACCATATGACCTTATAGGCTCTTCATTCAACATGATATACATATTTGAGTGCTTGGACATATCAGACTATTGGGAAGAAAGATTTGTCACAGTGCATATCAACCAATGAATGCTCAGAATCATAGATGCTGTTAGCTGTCTTCATATCAGTCTAGTGATGTAGTAAGTTCACTAGTAACATGTGCTACTCCCTATTAATCCCTCAGTGGATATAATACTACGATTTAGTATTTGTGCAAAGCTAACCAAGATGCTTCAGTTTGTGATTGTTCACACTTCCTTAATTGTCTTAAACCACATCCGTCTTCAACTCCAGGGTCTGTTCAAAGCCAGCTCCATCTTCCAGGAGAATTTTGGCAACATCACCGTACACATAGGAGACCCTGTGTCCCTGAAACAAATGTCACTGATCAGCGGGGTGGATAGGAGTGTCCACAGCCTTGCGCCGAGGTAATTAGCAGTATTAGCTGATTTTCCATCGCATTAGGGAGTCAAAGTAGCTACTAGACATGCAGCAGTTGTACTAACTCACAGCTGCATGGTTGTGGTCCTTTATAAATGATCATCAATTTTTCACCTTTTGTTGTAACGTGATCTTAAATTGTTTTCATTGATATTTTTGTTGCAAAGAACAAAAGAAATTTGTGATAACTTGTGATGTGATGTTAGGTTTCTTGACAAGATATTAAAAAGGATGTACTGAAAAAAAGATTTGGTCTTTAAATTGCTAACTGTTTTGGCAGTACAAAAGTTACTCACTTTTGAATGAGGCATCGGACGAAACAAAGTGTTTAGTTATGGAATGATTACTTTACAAATATTGAATTGTTTGCACCCTGACAATGATTCGGTTCTCGCAGGCTAGACTGGTTCCCACTCCCTATCCGAATCAATAATGTAGGGAATGCTTGCAGAGCAGATCTGTCTGTAAAGACACCCAAAATAAAAATGCCTCTTTTCAGAGTGTTTCAGACAACTAGAATGAAAGGAAAGTAGCCTTTTGGTAAAACAAATCAACTTGTTGGAGAGCATTGACATACACATCATCAATAAGTTCAAAGATTTTCAAGAATGCTTTGTCTCAACATCTTTGCTTTGCAGGTTCATCTTCTCAATGAACGCGCAGGAGCAGCAGTTTGTCCAGGAATTATGTCTGAGCATACAACTCATGCAGCAACGACACATGGTAGTCTCACCATGGGTGCTGACTGCTGCCTTACTAGTGATGAGTCCAGGGTACCAGACTAGCCTGCAAGGGATGTACAGTGATATGGAATGGCTGAAGGGTGCGGCCACAGGTCTGGGAACCAAGGTCCGTTGGCCAGGTCCGTATCCCTCAATAGCAATTTTTTTAACAAGGGAATAAATGTGTGCTTGGACGGTTGTTTTAAACACTCTGTTTAAGACCGGTTGGAGTCTGGATGCTGATAATTACCCTCGTCTATCAGCATCCAGACTCCAACCGGTCTTAACCATAGTGTTTAATACCGGCCAAGCACACATTTATTCCCATGCATAAATACCGTCAAAAACTTTTCAACCCAAAGTTTTTGTCATTCATCCCCTGTTACTTGTGGTTTGAAGTGATTGACTTGTGATTGATTGACTGGGCCTCATGTACAATTTTCCGTTGCTTTTCTAGTTGGGAAGACAGTGAAGTCTGTTCTAGAAGATGTGCTGGCCGTTCACCATGCCATGGCTGTTGTGGACAGGGACAGCATTAAGCTGAATGTACCGCAGAATGTGGCAACGGCAGAGGAAGTCATGGAGGTAATGTCCTGTTTGCTTTAGTAGGAGGGACACAGTGTTACCTGGAAGGGGGGACTTGAAATCCTGGAAAATATAGGACGGACCCTGGAATACAAATATGGAAGTTGTCTGAGGTATCCTTGATGACTATCCTTGTTCTCAGGAAAGAATCATCCAATTTTTTTGTCAAAGATCAACGAAAGTTACGAAAAAGTGGGCTGCTTTTGTTGCTTGAAATTGGTGAATTGTTCATAGTTTCATATGAAGTAAAAGTAAAACTGATGATGTCTAGAACATAGCTACATGAAATAACACTAATGGTGAACTTATGTCAGTTTTGGAATATGATCACATCTGGACTTGAACATTTCAGCTTTGGAACAGACTGGACATTCCTGGCACAGGCAAATTGTGAGAAAATCTGTAGAATTTACACCACGTTAATAAAGCACTGAAATTGTTTATCCCTAGATATTATCAGATAACCCTTGAAAATCCTCCTCTCTGAATTGCACCTTCAGGTTGCTACTGTGTACATCATGTTGGGTGCTTATCGTAATCAGCTCCTTCCCTCATTGGCCCAACCTGCCCTTGTCTCCCTTGCATTCTGTGGTCTCAATGCTGCAACCAAAGGTAGGTTCATTTCCTGGGGTGAGATCTGTCGGGATTTTTCCCGATTTCAGAATTTTTTGTCACGATTTTTCCTTATTTCGGATTTTTATAGAATCCCTCTTGAAATCTGGCATTCTTTAGGTTTTAACCGTGAAGGTGTTTTACCCATAAAAGTTTAGAACAAATGAAATGGGTATTTTAAGGGTGCCCTGGGGCCCTCGGAAATCCTCAAACCCTCTGCCAATTATATTGTGGATTTTTCCTTTTTCCCCAATCCCACCTGTGCATCTTTCAGAAGTCTGTGAGTGTGATTCAGCGGATATAGGTTTGTTCATGATGACATAGGCCCCTCAGCAGCCGATTTCACAAAACAATTTGTAACTTACGCCACGCAAAAAAAAATCTCCTCCGCCCGCCCTTTTGAAAATAGTATTTTGAAATCTGTCACGAGTAAAGTAGCAATTCATTTACCTCAAACACAGAGTATCAACTTTGCTAAGTTGTGCAATGACAGGGTCCAAGACAACAACTTGCAGGGAAAATAGTTGATTTTCATTCACTGCGCCACAACTTACACCACCTAAAATTATTTATGCCATAATTTGTTGTGCAAGCCGGGGACTTACACACTATAAAACATTTGTGACATGTGTCATAACTGAAATGTTACACAGCGTGAAATTATGTGCAACTTCCGCAATGAATTGTGGCGCAAGTGCAGTTATGCCATTGCGTAAAGTTTCGTGAAATTGGCTGCTGGGGTTTAGACTCCATGCGTGATCAATAGATGGTGCAATGTGACCACTCTCAAAAGCTCCATGTGCAGGAAGTATGCAGAAATAATTACTGATCAGAATGTACATAGTCAAGTAGCATCTTCACATGGGTGCTGGTTTTATGACAGCTTAAGAATCTCTCTCTCTCTCTTTGTCACCATCACGGGACACCTGCACCCGATTTCACTAAACGATGCAACAAGTGGCAACTCAAGTTACGATGTGTAACATGTCGCAAGTCGCGACGCATCGTACAATCCATTTCATGAAACATGCGATGAGTTGAACGCGTCGTAAGTTCTTTGACAACAGCTTAAAACACGTTGCAAGTTACGACGTGTCTTGTAGTCATCGCAAAATAAGAAGAGTCTTTATGCCATAAAATTACATATACCGAAGCAATGTGTGTAAAGTTGTAAATTGAAAATTCATTGAATAATTATGAAATAGCCTGGAATATTGCAGTTGAAATTTCAAAGTAGCTATACAGTCCACTGAGAGCTTGTTTTCCTTCAAAATTGCATCACACGGCCACCATTTTGTTTTACGTTTTAACAAATTTCTAGCTGAGATCCGACGACTCTTTGTTGAATATCGGACGACTATTTACTGTACGCTGACTATATACATAAAACAGTCACCGAGTTGTGCTATAAATACACCAACGACGCGTCGCACTTACGACGTGTTTCGTGAAATGGATCGCAGGACGCGTCGCAGCTGCGACGCATCGTAGAGATATGACGTGTCGCATCGCTGCCATGCATCAAAAGTTACGAAGAGTTTGATGAAATTGGGTGCTGAGCACCGAGTCCATATCTTCTTCTTTTTTCTTAATTGGCTTAAATGCACTAGATAGTTTTGTCGGCTTGTGTGGGGAATACTCTTAACCTATCGATAGAATTGCCATTCCTGCCACACAACTCAGAATTTCCTTTTTTGTTGATTGTCCATTCTAAGAATTGGAGTTAACAGGCGGTATCCAGAATGGCCATTGGTCTCTACGGCTATGGCTACCTATCATCACCAATTCAGTCATATCTTGTTTTAAAATATAGTTGAAAGATGAGTGGTTCCGAGAAGAAACAGATATTAACCTCCATGGGTTTGGGTGTGCTAAAACCTCCAAGCCTTCAATTCTATCCTCTCTCTTTTTCATGTTCTTGAAAGTACAAACATTTTGTGGCATAATTATACGCAATGTTCTTTTCTACTTGTGATAGGTGAACTCTTTGCACAGTACCAATTCCTTGTCACGCTGTTCAACAGAGAACTGACATTCCATCCCAAGACAACTGTGGACGTAAGTGATCACTTTGCCATTGTTGTGACTCAGTGAAATCAATTACCTACGCTTTATAATGGACTGATGATCAGTGGGAGGAGAATGCGACAGGTTTGTCTGGGTGTACACTTCAGAGTCTGCAACAAAGAGTTATTGTTCCAACATCCGGTATATCCCTGGTTTTTCGATGTTTTTATGTGAATAAAAAAAATTACATTTTCTGTCTAGTTTTTTTTATCACAGGAACATTAGAAAAACAGTGAAAAGAATATACTGAAGATAAATAACATACTGGTTATTCACAATCTAGGATTTCCAGAGCACTCTGCGGAAACTGCAGAATTCCAGTTTCATCTCGGTGACAGGCTTACAGTACAGCATCACCTCCTCCGGCGAGCGGCTGACATCCTTCCTGTGTAATCTCCTGCACCCATTCCTTCTGGGCTACTGGGTAAGTCTGATCATTCCAGTGCAGTCTCCTCTACCCATTCCTTCTGTGTTACTGGGTAAGTCTGATCATTCCAGTGCAATCTCCTGCACCCATTCCTTCTGTGTTACTGGGTAAGTCTGATCATTCCAGTGCAATCTCCTGCACCCATTCCTTGTTGGGTTACTGGATTAGCCTGATCATTCCAGTGCAATCTCCTGCACCCATTCCTTCTGTGTTACTGGGTAAGTATGATCATTCCAGTGCAATCTCCTGCACCCGTTCCTTCTGGGTTACTGGGTAAGTCTGATCATTCCAGTGCAATCTCCTGCACCCATTCCTTCTGGGTTACTGGGTAAGTCTGATCATTCCAGTGCAATCTCCTGCACCCATTCCTTCTGGGTTACTGGGTAAGTCTGATCATTCCAGTGCAATCTCCTGCACCCATTCCTTCTGTGTTACTGGGTAAGTATGATCATTCCAGTGCAATCTCCTGCACCCATTCTTCCCAGTGTTGTAGCCAACTCATATTTTCACAAGTCAAGTCGCAAGTCATGTTTTTTTCCGATTCAAGTCAAGTCGCAAGTCTCAAATCAACAAGTCTCAAGTCAACAATTTTAATCAGTCAAACTGATCAGTAACGTGCAGCATGGCAATGTGGTGTCTCGTAACACAACTGTAGCCAACGGCATGATCTCCATGGCATGCACCGCACAAATACTACCTCAACGATCCCCACATACGTACATGCAGGATGCCTAGCTCGCTACATGTACATTAAGTCTTTGGCTTTCTGTGCAACCATTTTTGTGTACGCCCGAATGTTTGTGTTTATTGTAATGAAAGTGTTAATATCAGCAAGTCAAGTTTATTCAAGTCAAGTCAAGTCACAAGTCTTTTTTTTTTCAAGTCAAGTAAAGTAACTAGTCAAAACAATAGCAACTCAAGTCGGACTCGAGTCTGAGTCGACAACACTGTTTCTTACTTAGTATAGACTAATTTGGCAACCTAAATTAGAAGCCATTTTGAGGTGGAACCAGGCTCATGCTCAGGTAGTATGCACCATTCCGGGCTCCTCCGTCCAATAGGGTTACCAAAATGGACGCGCGCCTTGTCTTTAGGAATGCGTGCAGCATGCATGCAAGCTTGGTTCCACCTCAAAAATGGCTATTAATTTTGTCCGCCGAATTAGTCTATTAGTCATTTCCCCAGGAAGGTCAGTAAAATGTTCCTCAATTTGGCACCTTTCCACCCATTTCTTTTTTCCTGAAGGTTGTTTGTCGGTATCTGCTGAGCTGTCCAGCTTCTCTAGCATCTGTGACTGAGCAGTCCCTTGCCAAGACAATACAGAAGGAGGTAGCAGAACTCATAGCTACAGGTTTGTGACCCTGCACCTTGAAAGTTACAACAAATTTTAAATCAAAAATTCCAAGACAATTAAGACAGTTTTACCATTGCTGTGAATAAGACTTTCCACTAGTGCTGGGAATCAAGGAAGAGCTAAGAAGACATCGTCTTTGGCCCAAGCCCAGATGGTCTTTAATTTTAAGCCACATCGTGTGCAAGTAGTAAACCACAGCAGTCATTTTCAGAGATCTGCTTAACAGCGGACAGAAAAATAGGTCTGGCTTAAGCAGAACCGATTTCTAATAAGCTTAAGTTTTAGTGTTTTTCTCGGTGACAATATGCTTACATGTACGTTTGCACATGGACATTTCAAATTCTGCCTCTGAAAATGCTGTGCCCTTGTAGTCCATGGGTCAGGACCCCAAAATTCACCGATTGGTACCACCTGAGGTGGCAAAATCTAGTTGCTGTTTTTTCATTGCTAACTTGCTATACATCTCTAGTTTATATTTTGATATGATAGCCTTTTCATTGTGGTACTTTATTATTGGTTATCACCCCTTGAATGTCCAGACCCCTTTTTAACGTTAATCCTATGGGTATCAGGGTGCTGGACCACCCCCCCCCCCCCCCCCCCCCCCCACAATGAAACTTGTTATAATTACTCCTAAATGCTTTGACTGATCGGTGTGAAATTTGGTGATACCCTCTGCCAGAGGTCAATATGGTACAAATACAATAACGTAGGATACCCATTGTTACCATGGCAAACAGTTCAGTTATTATTATTATTATGTCCATTGTTTGAAATCTCAAGTCAGTTAAGCAGCAACATAACACGTACACTGGGTTGCAGGTCAGACTATGAACAAATAGAGATAGTAAAAGTCTCCTTTTACTGTGAGCAGTACAAGGATTTCATCCAGGGGAAAATTACAATGTGCTGATTTGAATAGGCCAGTTTTCACTGAGTGATAAACCCTTGAGGTTTGAAACCTGAACGCTGTTCTCTGAATACTGTACATTGAATATACATTTTGCCTGATTTTGGCCAATCAGACCATTTGATGGTTATCATGTTATGGCGCTGGCCCTGACATCACCATGTAAACATTTGAATACTTTGAATAAAGTAACATAACAGTGTCGCTTATCTTCCCACATGTTTACTGCCCTGTGATATGCCACGTTTTGTGACTTTCCAAGTCTGAGTAAATAGGCTGTAATAGGAAGCAGTCAACCAACCCTTCATAACACGGTGTGATTTTTGTTTGTTTCGATCACACCAGGTGACCTGAAGAGCTATGACATCTTGTCACTCAATCTCCTTGGCAACGCCATCTCATCTCTCCTCCAACTCGGAGGTATCAAAAGATCCAAAAGGTGTGTACTTGGTGAATATGTCACAAGACCAAAAGAATTATACTGGTAATAATGTGCACAACTTTGCACAAAATACGGACAGAGCCAGCTTGGTTAATGGTTATTTTTAACTATTCTGTAATAAAGTGTTAATAATCGTGTGATTTGAACAGCGCCCCTGTTGAAAGTAAGGTACGAGCCCCCCCCCCCCCCCCCCCCCCTCCCTCCCTCCTATTGATTTTTGGAGGCCAAGTGTCCGGAGAAAAAAAGCTGTCTACATTTCAGAAGTTTTTGCTGATGAAACCCCCCCCCCCTTCTGCAAAAATTCCTGGATCCGCGCCTGAATTAGTATTCATAAATACCTAAGACAGTTTACCCATTCCTATTGGTCAAGAGCCCGTCACGTGACCAGTTTTAAGTGGTTGATAAAGACCGACTGGCTGGTCTTAAACACTTTTCCAGTGTCACATGAAATTTGGACTCCTTTGAAATTCGGTGCCTTTAGTTACCGTTTTATTGGTTGAACGTTCACAATGCACACTTGGGCATGCGCAATACTACCAGTCAGTCAGTATTTCAGTCCTAAATTCACAACACACCGACACAGCTGCATCCTGCCCAACATCGCGCAACATGCCGCAATCACTGTATAAGGAGTTGTTTATGACATGAACCCTACCATAATATATCTACAGGGGTGTTTCAAGAGAATGAAGTAAAATGGGTGGAAAAAAAAGTCTTGGAAATTTAGAATTTTGACTTGTTTTTACTTTTGAACCGAAAAGTTAATTTTTTTGACCGAAAAGGTATTTATGAATGGGAATGAATATGTGCTTGGACGGTATCAAACACTCTGTTTAAGAACGGTTGGAGTCGGGATGCTGCCTATTTACCAGAGCAGAAGGCCGAATTTGAGGCACATTTGTAATTTGAAGGAAAATAACAGTTGATTTGAGAAGCAGCGAGTGAGGGCATACCAGCTGCTTGTGAGCATGCTGCAATTCAGTAATACCTTGTAAAGTTGGCCAGTGGATAAATCTGTACGAAAATAATTTTGTTTTTTCTTGCAGTGGCTTGACGCTGATTGAATCTGAGATTACAAAAACTGCCGAGAAAATCAGTAAGTGCCAAATTTGATTTAGAACATGTGCCACTTGCAAACTTTTTTTTTTAGAATTGTACAGTTTCTCATTGTACTTTGCTACAGACCTGTATTTCCATTGTAGATTTCTACACAGAAACTGACAAAATAATGAACATATTCTTCCTTTTTTAAAAGACATTTCTCTTGTCAAAAACAAGTTCGGAATAAAAGTTCCCCTCTTTTTTTATGGCTGGCAAATATGCCTTAACAATATCTTTGCACACTGCATTGCAAATGCATGTACATATGTAAGTGACCCAGTGCTTGAATAATTAATGCATTTAGTTTCCAACACATTTCACTTCTGAGTGATCACAGTGTTGATAGTATGTCCTCAGTGGGGGGGGGGGGGGGGGGGGGGCACGTTGCAAACCAGAGTGCAGCTGACCCCACAGACCCAGATTCTTGCACTGATTCACACTGAAATCACCATCTTGCTGTTTTGTTTGCCTGGCAGGTGAGTACATTGAACTCCCAGCTAGCCTGCTCACCAAGCCGTTCGCTAAGAAGTTGGCTGGTCCCGCCGCCAAGCTGTAGGGTCAACAGTGTGGGAGCCAAGTACCAGCTTTGTTACTCACAGGGTCAGTTGTTGGACACAGAAGATAGCTGGAGGCAAGTCAAGATTGAGTGGCTGTTAACTATCATTCCTTGCTGATTTGTTAAGTTTTACCCACAATCAACTGTTTGGACTGTATCCAATTTATGGGGGATAATTTGTGTAATTTTGGTTTTTTACATTGCAATAGTTTTTTACATTGCACTAGTTCCTATCTTGAATAGTTAAAGGGACAATTACAGGCCAAAGTGGACATGGCTGAAAAGTGGACAATTTATGAAATCTTCAGGACTACAAGCATTGCAACATCAAAGTGGTATCAAATAAAAGGGGACAACGGGAGCTTATATTTGAGTGGTGTGCCAGTGAGATAGAATGTGGTTAGGTTTTAGGTAGTCATTTTGGCATCTGGTTTTCACATGCAAAATGCTGAATTAATTCACCTGTTTTCCCCAGAGGAAAAAAAACAAACAAGGAAATGCATACAGATTTACATTGCGGAAATGGTTGAGTGATTTGGAATTACTCACGTTCACTGATAATAAATTCAATCAACATCTCATTGTCGATAACAGTAATTTTGGACATATTTGCTCCACATTTAATGTTATCCCTCAACTTATGTCTGTTGGTATAATTACAGTTCCATTTGTATTTTTTTCTACTGTTATAAGATGTTTAAAACAGAATTGGTAATTTAATAAGGATTTATATCATGCAAAAAGACAAGGTTTGTTTTTCTTACAATGTATATTTTTGGTATAATTTCATAAGGAGCTATAAAAGATTATACATTATCAATGTAAAGAAGAGTTAATCATGGAGAAAAAAATGTAAAAATATTATCTTCTCGATGAATAATAAACATCGAGACAAATTTTGTGCACTTTTTACATATGTAATTAATGATCTTGCCAGAGAAGAGATTGACAAAAATCATGCTTGTTATACCTCATGATTCATGTGTCTGCCATCTAAAAACCAAAAACAAAAGGAGAATTGTTGGTGAAGATGCTCTACGTGTGCTCTACTACTTCTATTTTGGATGTTTCAACCCTCTGAAAATTGAGCATAATGCACATAAAATACACCTGAATTATTGTTAGATTGCAAGTAATTCAAAGTTTGTAAAGTAAATATTCCATATACTAAACTCAAAACTTGGCTTGATTTGTCTTTCAAAAGTGAATAACTTTTGTATTGCTGGAAACATGGCAATTTAAACGCAAAATCTATTTTGGGGGTGAAACTCGAAAACAGCACAGGGAGAGCAACTTTAACATCCACATCTTGTTTTGAACGTCAGGCACTAGGTGCTGCTCTACAAACCTCCCAAACTGATTTCTCACCAGATTTTGGTTGATGTTCAGCACCTCATAAATAGGACAGAAACGTGGCAACACAAAGCCCTCTAGTAAGTGGATTTCCATCACACAAACCACGAGGGTATACAGAAATTGCTTTTCTTTGATTTTGTCAATGCATTGACTGCAAGCACCATAATACAGGATGAGTAGAAAAAAAACACCAAATGGCAGGACCAAATATTTAATGAAGTTCAGCATGTAGCACTTAAATATAGGATATGAAAGCCCAATTAATAAGCTTTCTTTTAGTACAAGAATCATTCAAATCACTTATGTACTTTTCAAGTTTTTGTTTTCATCAAGAACATTTACCTTTTTTGTGATCCGTGGACAAACTTTAAAACGGCGTTTGTGTTCAAAACTTGAAAAGTACATGAGTGATATGAATGATTCTTGTACTAAAAGAAAGCTTATTAATTGGGCTTCATATCCTTAATTTTGAAGGTGCTACATGCAGAACTTCATTAAATAATTGGTCCTGAGATTTGGGTTTCCTTTTTACTCACCCTGTACATGCATATTGGAAGTGTTGAGAATTGTGCCTATCTTAAAACTAACTACTATGTTATGTGCCGTTCTTGGTGCCAAGCTGTTTTTCCGATGAAATAAAATCACCCCGATTGGACTACATTGTAATCACTTGCTATGTTATTCATATGTTCTTATTGTTTCTTTTGTAGTTGCAAGTTAATTCCGTCCCATATTTTAACTCTCTGATATATCATATCCCAATTTTTCTTTATAGGTCTTTTTCATTGCAGTCTTCTTCAATGTGTGTTCTGTTCCACGGGGTATACCATAGGTAGCCCTTTTGTGCATTCATTGTTACTAAATTAAAATGATAAGAGAGGAAACCCACAAAGAAAAACCCAAGACAGTTGGTGAAGTGTGTTTTATTATTCTGGGGACTCTGTATGCTGTGCAGTCGCAGGTTTGTTGGACAAAGTGGCTGTATACATGTACTGGTCGCATCTCGAGAGGAAGAGGTCCGTACCTTCTTAATTAATTTATTTATCCGACCTGTGATGTAGCAGGAATAATCATAGCCTGTGCCAACCTGGCAATAATACGATCCCCGTTTGCACCTGCAACACCAAGGAATCAATCCACCTCAGAAATAGAAGGGAGAAATATACCCCTGAATTAAATTGGTTTCCAGAGGATTCCCAGTGAGATTGGAATCAGCACAAGGAAAGATCAACTGGCTAGCGGCCGAGTCAAACAGCGAATGCATTATTTTTAGGCCCTTTTGCCGCCCTTATGAAAACACTCCCCTTCTGTCCTCGCTTCTCTTGCTGTGTCGATACATTGGATATTATGTGTCATCCCTTTCTTTAAGAAATTTGTAATAGTCGCGGTATTTTTCTCTCTTTGCCATCTTTTGTTAATTTGAACGGTGTGCAGGAAGTGGCTTGATGGGGTTTTGATCACTGAGGTGCCCTGGGTTATTTTTACTCCTTGTTATTGTAAATAGCAGTAACGATATCGACAGCTATTTAACAAAAATTTACAAGTTACGTGGTACAAAATAGTACAGCTCTTTGTAAAATAAAGCAGAAACGATAGTCTGTTTATTGACGGTTAATCTAAGCAAATACGTCAATCGTTCAAATCTTTTTAAGATTTGAACGATTGATATATTTAATTTACTAAATTATTATGATCCTTGATTTTGGCTGTTTTGGCTGTGAGGGCAATCAGTCTTGTCTGTTATATATAGTCCATCGACGGGGCAAAACTACCCAGTGTTATATCAGAAGTCCAACAATATCTGACATTGAAAAGGTAGTTTCCAAACATCTTTTATTGAAAAATGTATGGAGACTCCAAACAATAAAAAAAAAATCAACTTAAATAGCTTGAAGTCAAGAAGGCCACGAGAGCCATATTCTAGGTAAAAAAACAAAAACACCTTTTTGAAATCTATGTGATTTCCTAATAAACATCTCAGTTTTTCATTTTAGTACAATGATGTCAAAATGTTTTTAATAGAAATAACAAATTAGGAGGAAACGTTCCCAGCACGTGTCATTTGTATCTAATCCTCAATGTTAAGCTTGTTAAATTAAAATAATAATTAAGACCGTCCCCGAAAAAACTATATCCTATGCATAATCAGTCTGGAACCATGTCTTGTGAGTTTTATAGCATGGTGTCTGTACATCGTCTCAAGTTGACGGGTAAAATATTATGATAGAGGGTTGAAAATCAAGGGTTGCCTTTAAACCCTCAGTGTTTGTTGGTGCTGGTGTTGGTATGTGTCATATTTAAAAAAAAAATTACAATAATAATAATAAACGCTTGCCCCGATCTCATAGAGAATATATTTTATTTTTACATTGGGCTGTAGAATTATTTTCTCCCCGAGTGTGGTTGTTTTTATTCAAAGAAGTACAGTCGTATTAAGGGATATAAATTATTCCACAGATTTTTTTTTAATTCGATCTCAAAGCCATCCATGCGAAGTTAATACACAAGCTGTGTACAAACACCAACAGCGGTTGCATACGCCCGATTGGACAATGCAGTGCTCATCGATGCGATAACTATAGCCTGCCGAGGATGCCAAGATTGTGTCCCCATTCCCGCGATATTAAATACATAAATGCAAACACCAGCGCCATTGATTTTCTTTCCCCAACCCCGGCGCCTGGCACTTTCTCCTCATAATTGAATGAAACCCAATAATTTATCAGCAGAGAGAACCACTTTCCGTAGCGGAACCCTAGCCATTGCCAGCGATATAAAAAAAAAGCAAGAGCGGTAGGCGCGACCCAGATTTTGCCGCGAGGTGTTCCGAGCTAGCCCGTTGGTTCTTCATGCCCACAGTGGCGGCGCGAGCGCGGCGCGCGGCCAGGCCTGATGCAGCCAACCAAACCGCAAGCTAGCTTCACCGTGAGGAACAAAAGGGAGGTGAAATTCGAAGGCGGGATACAACTGCTTTTCCCCCGGGGTGTGATGATGATGATTGCCATGGCAACCTACGCTTCGGAAGATGCAGATCTCTGCGTCAGGAACGTGCGTCGCTCCGTAATGTGAGGATATCGCTTCTGTTTATAGAGTGCTTCGTTTTGATTCGCCTGCAGGCCCATCCTGGTGCATGGTTTCTCCCTCGTCTTTATTGTCCCTGGTTGAAGAGAGGAAAAGAGCTCGGTCATAAATTCACATCTCATGCGATGTCAGAAAATGAATGCTAATGAGCGTTATACAGATGATGGTGGTGTTGGTGGCTAGAATGGCAGTGAAAATGGCGATTGTGTTGCCGATGGGGACAACTTCTTATAAAGCAATACATAAATAAAGAAAAAGAAACATACCCTCAACAAAACGAAACAAAAAGAAAGAAAAGGAGAAAAACTGCTCGTTTGTCAGCGCGGTCAAAATAGCAGGAGATTTGACATTCCGAGTTATTTCAAATGTTTATTTATTTTTTTTTTTTTAAATAAGATAGCAGCAAACATAAGAAATAAAATTGTCGTTCGAAACACTGTCTTCTTAATGCATGTAAAGCACACGTAATTATGAACATTACTTTTGCAACATTATAATGTTCCCTCATTAAAAAAAAAAAGCCGGGGGGGGGGGGGATCAGCGAACCACAGCGACTTTAGGCTGTCATTAATTTTACGGTCAGTTAATTTCATGGGCCCATGCAGTTTTCTATTGCAGGGGCAGTTTTCTGTTTGACAAATTGAACTCAGGCAGTCGCCTTTATACATACTATGATGAAGTTAAATGTTTGATGGTGAAGACAATAACAAAAAATTGAGAGCAGTTTAAATCATCCAGTTGGAAGAATCTGTGCTATTTCGAGTTTCATCCCGAAAAACAGATTCCTTTTCAAGTTGCTATTTTTCTATAGCAATACAAAAGTTATTCACTTTTGAATGCAACGTCGACCGAAAACGGCCCATGAATTATTACTTTACAATTTCGCATTATTGGTAATAAGTCCCGTTCTAGCGGGGCGCGAGGCATGCCAGTCTGGGAGCCAGTCTGCCACCGGGAGCCAGTCTGCTCACAAAAAGCATCTATTTGTGCCAAAAACAAGACTCCTTTTTTCAGAGGTTTGCAAACGTCTATAACAGGAAACAAGGAGGTTACGTTTGTTGGTTGGAATAACACATACAAGTTGAACATTTATTACAGGTATTGAAAAATTCAAATTTGTTAAAAAGGGGAACGCAACTTTAACTGGTCTATCTACCTTTTAACGAACAAATTTTACTTATTTTTATGTGTGTGTGAGGACTGTTTGCAAAAATAGTGGCAAATGGTGTTGACATTTGCCACTTTTTTTTTATAAATTGACGAGTTAAAAAAAAACATTCAACCATTTAATTAATGTGGCTCGCTGGCCCTTTGTGTATGTAGTGTGATTAAAATGTGTGTATTAAAAGATTGCATTGTTACGTTCGACCATTTATTCGGTTGAGGCCTTGTTGTTTGTTTATTGTTATTTTTGTAAAATATATTTATTGATATACTACAATCAAAATGACCAACAGCGGCAGCTAGCTGAAAGGGTCACTTAACAATAATAAAAACAAAATTACAAACAAATCCTTTAAAATACATGACAAAATTAAATAATTATAAACAAATACATGTACTAAAATGTTTTTCACAAAAACTGTTGGATAAAATAAACAAATCAAAATACAGTAACATTACAATACAAGAAGATAATTAAAACTAAATATACATTGCATCACAGTGTGGGATAAATAAGTCTTTTTGAAATGTAGCAGGGAGAAAGTTCCAGGGGTACCGGTATTTTCGTGTGTAAATTAATTG